TATTTACTCATATACTTATCTATTAACGCAAGTATTAGTACCTACAACTAAGTAAATATAAATCCCAACTTGGCTTTTTAAAAACCTCAGTAATAGCATGGAGTCTGGAATTGTGCCCGGTATATGGCAATAGGCTCACCCCCTATTACATGGGATTCGTAACATAATATAAATAAAAGTGGGTGTTACATTGTACAGTGACATTAAATGTAGTACTGTGCACCTCTGCCTACCCCTTCGGGGATAAAAGGCGTGAAGTTATATTATGTTAAAAAAAATATATATGGGCTATATATACTTTATAAATAAATGGTTTAAAAAGTAAGATTCTGGTAATTTCTTTCTGATCATAGTAACTAGAATATAAAGGTGCTCCCACACAGCAGATATATAACGTTATACCACAATAAGTAACACAATAACATCGTGTAACATACTAAACAACATGTCAAGTTTTATAATTTGTTTTAAAACAAATTGCCCCGCTGGCCGAGTGGTCGCAAGTGCGACTGCCGAACAAGGGGTCTCGGGTTCGATTCCCGGGTCGGGCAAAGTATTACTGGGTTTTTAAAAAAACATCTCAGTAGTAGCACGGAGTCTGGAAATGTGCCCGGTATAAGGCAAAAGGCTCACCCGCTATTACATGGGTATCATAACATAAATAGTGAAAAGTGGGTGTTACTTCTGTGTGCACCTCTGCCTACCCCTTCGGGGATAAAAAGGCGTGATGTTATGTTATGTTAAAAACAAATTTTAAATCAGTCTCTATCGTTATATAACTGCTGTGGGAGCACCTATAAATTTAGTGATTCATACTAACATAACCTAGGTATGGCAAAAATCATTGTTTCTGTTCTTATGAATGCCAACAATGGATAAGATTAGAATGTTTTCCAAACATAGGTGCCATAAAGTCATGCATTTGTCCCATGAGGCAGGCAGGGCAAACAGAAATCTTGCATGTTCCTTTAGCGTATATTACATGAGGGTCGAGGCTCTCATATTTATTTCAATGCTTTATAACTCGTATAAAATTAGTATCACATTTACACAACACTTCAATCTGAAATTAAACTTAAGTTTGTGTCCTTAAGAACGATTTTGGCCTGTAATATTACTGTCGTATTACAGTTTTAACGTAGGTAGGTAGGTAGACAATTCATATCTGTCAACTAAGTTTTTATTAACAATCCTATCTTTAAGGAAAACCCGAGAATCAAGTTTATACGCAAGTTAATTTATACCACATTGTTTTTCTGTTATTTTTACGGTATAAGATAATTAAGTGACCTAGTGTCTGCTCCGAATGAAGCAGGCATACATAAGATAATACTTATGTAAGGACGATTAGGTATGGACGTAAGTGTGGGAAGCCATGCTTCGGCACGAATGGGCCGGCTCGACCGGATTGATACCACGGCCTCACAGAAAACCGACGTGAAGCAACGCTTGCGTTGTGTTTCGTCGTATGAGTGAGGCTACCGGAGGCCCAATTACCCTCCCTTTCCCCAAACTCCCCAATTCCTGAATCCCCAACGACCCTCAAATTCCTAATCCCCAAAAGGCCGGTAACGCACTTGTAACGCCTCTGGTGTTCCAGGTGTTCATGAGCGACGCCGATTGCTCACCATCAGGTGATCCGTCCGCTCGTTTACCGGCTTATGCCATAAAAAAAAGATAATTGCAATGTTTTTATTGTGAATTTTATAAAACTGTACTTATTGTGGTTAACAGAGAAAATATTTTTTATTTAAAGAAAATATGTGCCTCATACTAGGATTTTCTCCTGTATCGTACGTTTACAATACAAGTTCGTATACACATAAAACCCCGACAAAATATACTTGTTATTATACCTAAACATTATAAACCAGTTACTTCTGTGTTTTTAATGGATTTTACAATGAGACTCGCATTCTAAGGGCTCGTACACAAAATTGCGGTGCGACGTCGCACGACCACGACGACGAGCTCCCTCTACTCATCACAAGAACTTGCGAATTGATTCACATCGCGCATCAAAATATTATCTTCCCAAATCTTCTTTGTTTCTTTTTCCTGTATCTCCTAAACAATTACAAAAGTGCACACTTCTTTTTACGATCCAAGTTATGACCTAGATTTCAATTAAAAATACATTTAGTACGGTTGACGGTCGTCGTCTGTTGACGGTCTCGTCGATGGAATGGTCAGCCTGGGAGACGCCTTGTCGCACGAAATCGCATCGCAGCAATGCGCATTGTAATTTTTTCTTTGCGAATTCGCGTCGCATCGCAGTGTTGTGTTCGGGCCTTATACCATACCGTTTTTGTTAACAATAACTTACTGTACCGACATAGTATATTTTTTCACAACAATTTGTGCGTATGACGTCTCAAGGTAGACTGGTAGCCTTCAATTTTGAAAACAATGCTCTGTACATTATCTTCACATAAATTGTCTACAACATTACGTAGGTAGGTAACTACGTACATACATAATGTACTAAAATCATAAATCTACAGGCGGATATGACATAGCTAGAGTAAGATGGCTACCTGAGCACGAATAACTAAAAATTAAATGTAGTACTTGCAAAACTCCTCTTGTTTTCCGGGGTATCCATGGGCGGCGCTGATCGCTTACCATCAGCTGGTGGCTGAACCGTCTGTTTGTATGCCTCCTAATTCATAAGAAAAGCATAGGCATATAAGGTATTTTACCTTGAAGAGGAAGATGAAGGGGATGTTCCCTTTTGGAATCCTTCTCAAACAAAAAACAACTACTTTTCACTCGTCACCTGTCATGAGTTTCATGTTATGAGGGGGTGAATCTTTTGCCATTCCAGCAGCTGTAGCCAAATGCCATTTAGCGCTTGTCTACATGTAGAATAGAAAACCAAATTATATGGGATTGACGTAAATTTTTACACTTGTCAGTGTCATCCTCATACATTTTGATTTCTACTCTCTCTGTAGACAAGCGCTAAAGTGGCGTTTGGCTACAGGCCCAGGATACACGATACACACTAAGGATCTAGGCATCTAGTCCTAGGAATCTAGACTAACGCCCCTTGATAAGCAGTCCAACCCGTGGCCATTCCACCATGGAGGCCACAAATTAATTTATGTCATGCATTCATATTATTATGCAAATCGACCCAATTTCGACCTCTGAACGACAATTAGTTAAAATATAAATAATCAGACCACAAACCACAAGTTCGCAGTATATTTACATGAATGAAGCATATTTAAATTATTAATAAGCTGTTTCGAGAGTAACCGTTAACGAATGACGCAAGTAACTGCCTTAAAAATAATAATAATTGTTATTAGTGCGTAAAATCCTTCTTTAAATTGCAAGGATACACAATTTAATCTATATATCCTTACTAATATTATAAATCTGAAAGTGAGTTTGTTTGTTTGTTTGTTTGTTCCACCATCACGCCGTAACTACTCAACCGATTGCTTTGAATTTTTGCAGACGTAAAGTTAGAAGTCCGGATTAAATAATAGGGTACTTTTTAACCCAAAAAAAAATGATATTTCCGAGGAAAAACAAAAGTATTGGTATAGATGGCGCTGTGTGTATTCGTATAGATGGCGCTGTATGCCATTTAAAACAATTCAACGAATTACCTACTAATTGGAAATTTCACACAATCTACACTTATTCGGTTCACTTTTCGACTCATTTATTTGCTGTTTTATATGGTAACGTTGTGTTTTTTAAGTATTTTTCGCTTTTAAATTTTGGTTCCTACCATTTTACATTGAATTGTGTGTTTAATAAATTTTAGGTTGTTAAAGATACACGAAATTGGTGTCTATGAAGTAGTTACTCTACTTGGCGATAGATGGCGCTATCTACACTTATTCGGTGCACTTTTCGACTTATTTATTTGCTGTTTTATATGGTAACGTTGTGTTTTTTAAGTATTTTTCACTTTTAAATTTTGGTTCCTACCATTTTACATTGAATTGTGTGTTTAATAAATTTTAGGTTGTTAAAGATACACGAAATTGGTGTCTATGAAGTAGTTACTCTACTTGGCGATAGATGGCGCTATCTACAATTATTCGGTGCACTTTTCGACTCATTTATTTGCTGTTTTATATGTAATTTTAAAAACGTGGTAACGTTGTGTTTTTTAAGTATTTTTTGTTTTTAAATTTTGGTTCCTACCATTTTACATTGAATTGTGTATTATATAGATTTTAGGTTGTTAAAGGTACACGAAATTGGTGTCTATGTAGTAGTTACGCTACTTGGCGATAGATGGAGCTGAGTATTTATAAAATGGGGTAGCGTTGTTTTTTAAATATTTTTCGCTTTAAAATTTTGGTTCTAACCATTTTACATTAAATTGCGTATTTAAGAGATTTTAGGTTGTTAAAGGTACACGAAATCAGTGGCTACAATACTCAACAATTAGCAATTATATTGTATGCTGTTGTTTTAACGCTCGATAGATGGCGTTAGGATCGAGTTAGATGGCGCTATGGTTTCGTTACCGGCGAAAGTATAGGATCCGAGCTTCCATAGCAACCTTATTTCGGTGTACGCATCTACCACCCTGATTGATTAGTATTCGTTCGCTCTGTAGGTTTGAATATTTAAGTGTTGTTTTTCTAGATATAGATGTTGTTCTATAAAGTAAAACAAAACGAAGGTACTTAACGTGATTTTTTAACTGAAAGTAATTGAAGGGATGGATAGTCACATAGGCTACTTTTTATCCTTTTGTGACGCGAGCGAAGCCGCGGGTAAAAGCTAGTATATATATAAATTCAAAGGTGACAGACTGACTGAGAAGTGGGAGGGGGTGAGCTTTTAATGGTTAAAAATGATTTGTCTTTATTTCCGTCAAATACGAGTTCTATCGAAATAAGTTAAATGGCAATGTTAATAAAATGACCTACAAGATACAAAAGTTCGACCCAAAAATACAGATTCGAAGATTTCGATTTTTAGAAAAGTATAATTACTTCATCTTCTATTGGTTATATTTTCAGTGTTTAGTCCACATATTATCGTGCCACGATTGGGACATAACGACTGTTGAAGGTATAGGGAACCGCAAAGATGGATACCATGCCATCCAGGACCGTTTGGCGACGTTCAACGGCACCCAGTGTGGGTACTGCACTCCAGGGTGGATCATGAATATGTACAGGTAGGTTGTACATCCTATTGAGTTGTAAATGGTTCAAATATAAGTGTGGTGGCGTATGGTATTTTTACATAACATAACATCACGCCTTTTCTTCCCAAATGGGTAGGCAGAAGTGTACATTACGGCATTTAATGCCACTGTACGATGTAACACCCACTTTTCACTATTTATGTTATGAGTCCCATGTAATAGGGGGTGAGCCTATTGCCATATACCCGGCACAATTCCAGACTCCGTGCTACTACTGAGACTTTTTGTTTTTTTTTTGTTCTCATTATTACCAAGGTATTGTTCATCCGAGGGTCGCAAGCTTTGAGTGGAAATTGCACATATACATACCTCTATATTTAGAGATTCCCCTGTTTGGTAGTTGACATTATCTAGCTTCATCTGCTGCAAGATGACCACTAATATGTGGGGCCTATGTACTCTGTTTTTTATTATGTATTGTCCTCTGTGTTGAATGTGTGTACATAAATTAATAAATAAATAAATAAATAAATAATTATCTGACTATAACACAATAATAAAATAAAGACTCAATTTATTACGTCATGCAAGACCATATTGAGGTGTGCTTGGTTTGAAATGGATAGAAAGAAATAGATAGTAGATTATGATTTTTCGAATCCTAATATTTGGTTATCACTTCTCGCCAGCCTGGACAAGTCTACCAAGAACCTGACGACGCAGCAGGTGGAGAACTCATTTGGTGGCAACATGTGCCGCTGCACTGGCTACCGACCTATCCTGGATGCCTTCAAGAGCTTCGCCTCCGACACTGACCCAGAGTTACAAGACAAATTACAGGTACTTAAAAATAAGCCTTAAGAAAGTAGGAATAGATGGCAATTGTTTTTTTCCTGTCTTAGACAGCCTGCATTTTTTGTATACCCTAATTAAAAAAATAATTGGTCATTTCTAGCAAAATCTCTTAATTAGTAAAACTGGTCTATTTTCAAGTCACTTAAAATAGGTAACTTTTTGGCCTCTTATTACCTTGACATGCCCCATACATACAGAGTCAGAAAAGCGTAATATTGCCCTAAGGCCCCTTCACTTTCTCTTCTTTCCAGGATCTAGAAGATCTCCACATAAATAAATGTGCAAAGAAATGTTCTCGGAAATGCAGCACATCAGAAGATGAATGGTGTCTTATAGAGAATCCAGAAGAATCTTTGAAAGAGTTAAGGACTGATGTGGGACGCTGGTACAAGGCGTATAGCATACCAGATGTGTTTAAGGTACGTTTCCTATCACTTTATCTAGATTTTAGACAAAAATACATTTATATTATGAAGATTTTACTATATTGAGTGATGATAAACGATATAAAACAGAAGATTAACAAATATATTTTTTTCTCAACAGGTGCTGACGCGCGAAGGTACAGATAGTTACCGACTAGTTGCTGGTAACACTGGAAAAGGTACGTACGAATACGATTACCGCATAAGTCCACCAGAGAATTTTTAATAGGAGGCAAACAAGCAGACGGATCACCTGATGGTAAGCGATCAGCGCTGCCTATGGACACCAGAGGAGTCATAGGGCATTGTACGTTGAGTCAAACCCTACACTTATAGCTTGGTAGCGACAAGGTACTCGTCTAATAATACAGTAACTTATTTACATCTTGGAATGTCGTGGTGGCCCGGAGGTTGAAACGCCTGCTTGTCATACATGAGGGTGCGGGTTCGAAATCTACCAAGGACAAGTACCAATGTGACTTTTTCCGAGTTATATGTACTTTCCAAGATTATTTAGACACCATTGACAAACGCTGAAGGAAAAGCTCCTGTGGGGAAACCTGGACTTATAGTTTCTAATTATTAGTTTGAAGTCGCCAACCCGCATTTAGCAAGCGTGGTGATTAATGCTCAAACCTTCTCCGTGTGAGAAAAAGCTTTGCTCATCAGTGGGCATTTATAGGCTGTTGATGATTTACTTCTTTAACCAACACAATACTTTTTTCCAGGAGTATACGCATTACCATCAGAGCCAAAGGTCTTGATAGACATTTCGTCGATAGAGACTCTAAAACTGGTGCAGTCTGATGAAAATCTGATCCTAGGCGCTGGAATGTCCCTCAGTGATGTCATGAAGACCTTCCAGAAGTGGAGCAAGCAGAACCAGGACTTTAGCTACCTGGAAACCCTGTATAAACACCTGGATTTAGTTGCACATGTTCCAGTGAGGAATGTGAGTTGCTTTTTGCAATGTACTTCCTTTCTTTTTACTAGAGTTAATTAGGATTTAAGATTAGCATCAGTTTTAAGTGATTAATGTCCAAACACTCAAAGGCTACTAAATTTTAAGTCGCGCTTAAGTATAGTTCTGTCGCCACAAATTATTTGTAAAATGACAGAGATGACACGATATTTAAGTACAACGTAATTAAAATTGAGTAACCTTTCAGTATTCGGGTGTAATTTTAATTGTTATTAGTATTTTCCAATTCCCAAAAAAAAACAAAAATAGTAACGAATGGAGTTTCTTGCTCGTTCTTCTCCATTCGAATCTACATTTTGGAATGAGCACATAGCTTCACCTAGCTTCACTGACGGACTGACTGACAGACTATTATTTATTTTGTATTTGTTGACGTTTCAAAAGTACCAAATTATAGGTTAATTGAAATAAATGCTTTGACTTTTACACACAATCTGCTATATAATGTTAACCACGCCTACCAAGCGTGTAGATATTGTCCAGCGGTGGAAACTGTCACGGATAGTAATACCGATTGTAATAAAAATTCACTTAAAACTATTTGCCACGTATCTAAGTATAAACGTTTCTTCAGTGGCGTAGCTAGCGCCGTATCAATTATATGGGGCCCCCAGACTACGGAGGCCCCCAACGTGTGTAAGCAAATATATAAAACCTTCTCAATATATATTTTATTTCAGTAATCACAAAACGTATGCGTTCAAGAGTTGGCAGAAACCATGGAATAGAGAAATCTATTTCATGGCAGAAACTTTGGAAAAACTAAAGTACCTAATCATTGTCCGATAATTTGGGCCGAGGAGGTATTTTATGTAAAAAAAATTCTTCTGAGGAAGTTTTGCCGTTCATAAGGGCCCGCAAACAAATTTTCATACGGGGCCCTGCCAAGATACGCTACGCCACTATGTTTCTTACTTCTTATCTAAACTGAACCGAAATAATCTAGTGTAGATAAAGGTAATAAGTGAGCCTTAATTGCAATACAATGAATGACACAAATAGCGTTAAATCAATATACTGTGACAGTACAACGTTATCTTAAGGAAGCATCTCTTATGAATATATTATTTACCATTATATTCTTTGTTAACATACTTCCTTTATAATTCCAGGTGGGCACTATAGGAGGAAATTTATCTTTGAAGAATCAATACCGTGACTTCCCTTCTGACGTATTTCTGATTTTAGCTACTGTAGGAGCTACTATAACAGTCGGTGAGTAAATAAGCTAATAAAAAGCTCGCATTTAGTAGCCCAGTCTATTCAATTCTTCATATTTTGACGTGACAACGTCTTATAAATTGGTTTGCCAGGTGACACTTCAAGAAACTGCGTTACGCTCCGCTCACTTTATGCGCTCACAATGAGAGCGAGTGAGAGGCACGCGTCCCTTCCACTCGGGCATTGTTAGCCCGCCTAAGAGCGAGAGAGACACACATAATATTTTACCACTCAAAGTCGTTGTCACGTAAAACTTTCGCCCGTATACCGACTTTACAGGCAACCAATTTTTTTCAAGAATAAACCAACTCTATCCGTTCTCAAATAACGTTTACTTTTCTACATTTTCAGTTAATAACAAACTTAATAAAGTGGAGTTGAAAACTAAAGAGTTTTTAACAGCAAACTTGAAAGATAAGCTGATATCTGATGTGAAACTACCTCCTTTATCGAGGGACAACCTCATCAGGACTTATAAGGTAACTCTTTCCAAGACATCTACAGACTATGACGCCGGTCAGGCCGCAATGGAGCTGGCGGGTTCTCGTGGTTCTCGGTATTGGACAATTCTTTTTCATTAACTCGGGAGGTACGAAGCTTTCGAACTTTCCATCGGCCCTCACGACAGAATATACATCCCCACCATATAGATGGTTGGCAGGCCACAACTGTGCGCTTTTCACGATGCTTTCTGCCTCGCACAGCAAAACTGTGGAATGATCTGTCGTCGGCGGTATTTCCGAACCGATACGACCTTCAAACCTTCAAGAAAAGAGCGTATTCCTTTTTAAAAGGACGGCAACGCACCTGTGACTTTTCTGGTGTTGCGGGTGTCCATGGGCGGCGCTGATCGCTTACCATCAGGTGATCCTTCTGCTCGTTTGCCTCCTATACCATAAAAAAAACGAAGGAAATAATATAATATCGATCAGCTAGTTGTTAAGCACCAGGGTAACAAAACAACTTCATAATCAGTCGGCGCCGTGCATCGTATCTATGTAAAAGCTACCATCGGTCTGAAGTCGATTTCGAGTTTAATTTTACACAATTAGTAATATACGCTGGGTAGCTAATAAAGTCATATAATTTTTTAATATAAGATAGTTTTGTGGTTTTTTTTTAAGGGGTGAAAATCATCGAATTACTGCTCCCGCCTGGGTGAGGCGGAAGGGAGTGTCAGACTCTTACTGACTAAAAACCACCCCGTTCCTTCTCCTGCACGTCGAGCCGGAGCCCCGGTTACCCGTTAGGTTCTCCGCGACTCCAAATCGGCATCAGCCCTATTGGGCCCCATCTGTGGTGGTCTGATGGCTCTTTGAGGCGCGCGCGGAACGCTACGCGCCGTACGCTCAGTTTTGTGGTCTAGCACTCATAACTTCTAAGTATTGTACATTTATAAGTAGATGAGTGCATATTAGAGTGCAGTCACGTACGCCTCCTAAAGTGACGCAATAGGTACCTTATCAACATAAAGTAATTAGTAAAAATAATATAAAACATTAATTTATATTTGCGGTTTGTATGATGAATGTATGTATGTATTATAATAATAGCTTTTGATTAATGTATTTATTAATGATTAGCGTGGTGATTAATGCTCAAACCTTCTCCGTGTGAGAAGAGGCTTTGCTTAGCACTGGGCGTTTATAGGCTGTTGATGATTAATGAATAGTCTAAATATGTATATTAATATATATATAAGAAAATAATTAAGGAGTTATTTTATTGTCTGAAATCTAGTGTCAATTTCACAGATAATGCCGCGGGCTCAAAACGCACACGCCATTGTGAACGCCGGTTTTCTTTTTAAACTGGATGCAGACAAACGCATCAAGTATGCGAACATTATCTATGGTAACATCAGTCCTACGTTCATTAAAGCGTCACAGACAGAAAGCCTGCTCGTTGGGCAGAATTTGTTTACCAATGAGGTGTTATTGAGAGCTCTTAAGAAGTTGGAAGAAGAAATAATTCCAGTGGAAATACCCCCGGAACCATCTACAAGCTGCAGGAAGAGCTTGGCTTTGGGATTGTTTTATAAAGTAAGTGAAAGTACGCTATCAAGTTAAGCACCTTTGTTTTCTTACAAATCTCCTAAGCATGAGATTGCGGTGATCTACCCACAGGGAAATTCCCTCAAACTGGATTTTTTATGGCATAAGCCGGTAAACGAGCAGACGGATCACCTGATGGTAAGCAATCGGCGTCGCCCATGGACACCTGGAACACCAGAGGCGTTACAAGTGGGTTACTGGCCTTTTGGGGATTAGGAGTTTGAGGATCGTTGGGGATTCAGGAATTGGGGAGATTGGGAAAGGGGAGACATACGACGAAACACAACGCAAGCGTTGCTTCACGTCGGTTTTCTGTGAGGCCCTGGTATCACTCCGGTTGAACCAGCCCATTCGTGCCGAAGCATGGCTCTCCCACATTTAGATTTTTAAAAACGGTCATAATACGGCCCCATATGTCATTGACAGAAGCTTATAGAACTGGCGGTGTTTAAATTCGTGATCGGTGTTTGTTATTCTGTTTGGTCATCCCACCAGAATTATTTTTGAAATGGAGTGAAATATGTTTATTCGGCTAAGACATGCACGCCAGGAAATAATACATTATAACAAATAACAATAAAAAGGTTTAAAAACAGAGAGAGAAAAAATAGATAATAAGCTAAATTATAAAAACTAAACAAGCTAATATAAATATCTTTATCTTTATATATACCTCTATAATTCTTCTGTGAAGTTGTATGTCACTGAACTTCTCTCAAACGACTGGACCGATTTTGATGAAATTTTTTGTGTGTGTTCAAGGGGATCTGGGAATGGTTTAGATATTTATCCTAAACAGCTGAACTAATTTGAATGATTTTTTGTTTATACATTCAAGTGGATATGCAAGACAACGTCTGTCGGGTCCGCTAGTGTAATTATAAATTAAATCTTAATTCAATTATTTCAGGCAGTACTGTCACATTTCTTGGACGTGAACCCTCGTTATAAGTCTGGAGGCAGTATACTGGAGCGGCCCATGTCAAGAGGCACACAGAACTACGAGACCGACAAGACATTATGGCCGCTCAATAAACCTGTTCCTAAACTTGAAGCGCTTGCACAGGTAACTTTTAACCAGTACTTCGTCAATTTAGTCTCTTCATAAAGGCGGTGTAATATAAGAAGGGCTATTATGGTACACTAGACTGCCTCGTTGGCTGAGTGGTCGCAAGTGCGACTGCCTGGGTCTCGGGTTCGATTCAAACAATACAATACAATACGAAAATACAATACAACACAATACGAAACAATAGGATATGTTTTGTTTTTATAATAACTATCGTGAGACATATTAAATTAAGTAACTAAAATCGCGGGTTACTCCCGAGGTATAATATACTGAGAAAAGCTCTACTAGTTTCGAACCACAGAGGGGTTCTTCCTCATGAGCATCGTGCGCGGTCGCGGCGACCGTGCTATATTGACCGTGATAATTATATTCACGTGAGTAACCCGCGATTTTAGTTAAGTTAGGATATGTTTTATTCTAGCAGTTATCCCTTATGCAGTCAAGTATGCCTCGTAGGCCGAGTGGTCGCAAGTGCGACTGCCGGGCAAGGGGTCTTGGGTTCGATTCCCGGGTCGGGCAAAGTATTACTGGTTTTTAAAAATCTCAGTGGTAGCACGGAGTCTGGAAATGTGGCCGGTATATGGCAATAGGCTCACCCCCTATTACATGGGATTCATAACATAAATAGTGAAAAGTGGTACATTGTACAGTGACTTAAGTGCCGAAATGTGCACCTCTGCCTACCCCTTCAGGGATAAAAAGGCGTGATGTTATGTTATGTTTTTGAACTACAGATTTATAACAATAACTCATCATCGCCGCTCTTTACAGTGTTCCGGTGAAGCTACATACGTCTGTGACATAAACTATGGCTTGCGCGCAGTGCACGTGGCCTTCGTGCTGTCCAACGTCGCTCGAGCTGAGTTGGAAGAGTTCGATGCCACTGAAGCACTGGTGAGCATTTTGAAAGAAAGAAAGAAAACCCATTTATTTTTTACTAGCTTTCTTACCCGCGGCTTCGCTCGCGTCACAAAAGGATAAAAAGTAGCCGATGTGACATATACCAATACACACAGCGCCATCTATACCAATACTTTTGTTTTCCCTCGGGAATATCAAATTTTTCCGGGTTAAAAAGTACTCTATTATTTAATCCAGACTTCTAACTTTACGTCTGCAAAAAATCAAAGCAATAGGTTTAGTAGGTAGTTACGGCGTGAAAGCGGAACAAACAAACAAACTGACTTTCCAATTTATAATATTAGTAAGGATTTGGTACATACTGACTATCAAGACCTCATGAAACAGGCCGTTAATAGGCAAAAGTACATTACCAAGGGCTCAGAACCTCTGAGTATAAATTGGCCTAAGAAGGGCACTCAAAATATTATAAACAATCCTACGTTTGCATGCCTGCTTGTAAAAACGCCACTTGAGAATACAGGGTTGAACTGAGTGTTCGGAAACCACCAACAATATTTGAAATAATGTTTAGTGGGTGTATGTGGTGTGTTTAAGTGTTCCATATCATTATATTTGTGTGTAAAAATATATTAATGATGAAACAATATGAGTAATAGCAATAGGATTTGAAATATCTTCTGAAAATTTGTGGTTTAGCGGTTTAGTTCGTTTTGCAGAAGATTGTTATTTTTATATGGTACTAGATTCTGCCCGCGTCTTCGTACGCGCAATGTCGTTTTCTCCCGTTCCCGTAAGGTTTTCACGACATTTTTCTGTCATAAGAACTTTCTCCTGACAATCATAAAGTAACAAAAAAAATCAGCCAAATCGGTCTAGCCGTTCTCAAGTTGTGGCGTGACAACGGGAAACGGGTTTCATTTTTATATATACACTAGCTACTTCCACGCGATTTTACTCGCTCTGCTCGGCGGCTATTAATCATAGTAATATTTTATAGCCTATAGCCTTCCTCAATAAATGGGCTATCCAACACAGAAAGAATTTTTCTAATCGGACCAGTAGTTTCGGAGCTTAGCGCGTTCAAACAAACAAAAAAAAACTCTTCAGCTTTATAATATCAGTATAGATAGATTAAAAGTTCAATACTTCTTTTAAAAGATTGTAGTATTTCAGACTATTGTAATGGAGTATTACTTGTTCTTTTTCCTTTAAACATCAAATACAGATTACCACTTTCTCATTCAGAAAATTCCAGGCGTCGTTGCCGTCTTCAGTTCCAAGGACATACCAGGAAGGAACTCCTTTACACCTAATGAGGTTCCCTGGATGGGAGTAGACGAAGAGATCTTTGCGTCGAAGAACATCTACTACTATGGTCAGCCAGTAGGCGTGGTGGCTGCCGCTACTAGAAGAACAGCATTAGCTGCTGCTGAGCTGGTCAAAGTGAAGTACAAGAAGCTGGCTGGCAAACCTGTGTTGACTATTAAAGACGCTTTGGAATCACCTGACAAGGAAAAAAGAGTAAGTAAATTAGTAGGGTACTTTTTTTTAAGGGGGGAAAATCATCGAATTACTGCTCCCGCCTGGGTGAGGCGGAAGGGAGTGTCAGACTCTTACTGACTAAAAACCACCCCGTTCCTTCTCCTGCACGTCGAGCCGGAGCCCTGGTTACCCGTTAGGTTCTCCGCGACATTAGTAGGGTACTAGGTACCGCCAATTGGGTACTTGCCAACTAGACAAATTCAATACTTTTTTCGAACTGTCAAATACGACAGTTTTCTATGAATTTTGTACGAGATTGTGTATTGTGACGTCACCTTGTTATAGCGTCAAACAGCATACTTATTTCTTAAAAAATTGCTGGAAAAATAATAAAATTAAGTTGGCCATAAAATCAAATAATGAAAGTGTGATTTTTTATAATATTTTATTGTATTGTACAGTCGAAATAATTTATTTTTGATTAAGGAAAGTAGGTACACATACCAGTTCTAGCAGTAACGCACTCATAGTGACCCTCATTGTGATGTGCTTTCCGAAAACACCCAGAAAGACCACACACCCTTGCGAAGTCACATCAATAGTTTCACCCATATTTGATAACCATTTTTGCAGTTGATTAAAAGTACTTCTTATATTTACAGCTTCGTAAAGATGCAACGATAGAACCGACAACCAAAGGCACTGACATCCAGCACACAATAACTGGGACCTTCAACGTCCCCTCTCAGTACCACTACACCATGGAGACACAGAGCTGTACCACGCAGGTCACAGAGAACGGACTGGTGGTCAGGTCAGCGACCCAGTGGATGGACCTGGTCCATGTTGCTGTGTCCAAGGCACTCAATATTGATGAGAACCGGTACGTTCTTTTGTTTCTTAACATTTTTGCTGAACAGATAATATTATCCCGTCATTTATTTTTTGCCGCATAATGATTGTTACGTTACTGCTGCTGGTATTGTCCTATGTTCTTACTTTATGTTCGACGTGCTTTCTACGGACATGTTTAAAATTGATTTTGACTTCAGGGACTCTTAATAAATCAAGTTTTCTCTAATTCCCAAAGGCCTTAGCTATGTCAGTATGTAGCTCTAAAGGTTCGTTCTACCATGGGCGACGCCGATTGCTTACCATCAGGTGGTCCGTCTGCTCGTTTACTGGCTTATCCCATAAAAAAGGCGTTGAAGACCTTAAATCGATACGAACACATCAAGCTACCGTCAAAATTTCCTTACAATTTTAACTTTATCAAAAAATATGAAAGTTCAAAATCTAATTTATAGATTGGATAAGCATCTGTACTCAAATTTTGTTTAGCTCATGATTCTTTCTTAACATTTCAGCGTTCTCGTAGAAGTGCCACGAGTGGGCGGGGCATACGGTGGCAAGGCGTCACGATCGGCACTGATAGCGTGCGCGTGCGCTCTAGTTGCTCACAAACTGAACAGAAGCGCTACACTTGTGATGCCCCTCAATCAGAACATGCAAGCTATTGGCATGCGTTCAGCTTGCGAGTTCCAGTATGAGGTGAGTGAGAAATGTGAAATAACTCTCGAATGTCTTTAGACCTTATTTATACCATCAAGCTACCATCAAGGTTTACGTTAAAGTTTCAACTTTATCAAAAGAAATGAAATTTGTAAGATATGAATTTCACAGATTGGAAAAGCTTAAGAATTGTTTAAACTTCTTTCATAATTAAGTTATGTTACCTATTGTATTACTTGGAGTAATTACCTACATTTACCTAAATATATATCGACGAATTGCAGTTTTCAAACCCGTAATACAGCTACTTATTTGTTGATTATGTTGCCAATAATTTGTCATAATTATTATTATAGTTAATTCACAATCATTAATAAACAGGTTTAATTTAATTATGATCCCGATAACCGGTTGCGAATTGTAGAAAATGTCTTCTTTGTACAGAAAAGGATCATAAAAATTCATAATTGCGTTGGTGACACAGAAATGTTAATTACCGAAAAACTAGTCTGTTGCCGCGTTCATTCCAGCCACCTGGAAATACAACATTAAAAAAAAAATACTGCAATAGAATCTTAGCAACCACTCGCCTTCAAAGAAACCGTTGCTAAACTTCAAGAAAAGCCTGCTAAACTTATACCTGTTGCAGTGTGGAGTCAACAATGACGGTGTGATCCAATACCTGAACGTGACCTACTATTCCGACTGCGGGTGCTCATACAACGACTCTGCGGGAAGTGACATAGCCACGTCCATCATAAACCTGTACTCAACGGAGACCTGGAAGGTCACAGGGTACAGTGTACTCACTGACAAAGCGAGCTCAACTTGGTGTAGAGCGCCTTGTGAGTAGATAAATGTCCTGTTTTTTTTTATATTTTCTTTACAAGTTTAGTCTTTTATCTAAGCATCATTTTCGCTCAAAGCCAATGTCAAGGTATACAAAACTGGTGACTATTCACTCGCTGGTATCGATAGGTATAGACTTTTTTTTTAAGGGGGGAAAATCATCGAATGACTGCTCCCGCCTGGGTGAGGCGGAAGGGAGTGTCAGACTCTTACTGACTAAAAACCACCCCGTTTCTTCTCCTGCACGTCGAGCCGGAGCCCCGGTTACCCGTTAGGTTCTCCGCGACTCCGAATCGGCATAGGTATAGACTAGGAACTTCCATGTGGATTATTCCTCTTAATATGATTCAAATTTTACTTTTTTCACTTCCAGCAACAACTGAAGGCATCGCGTTCGCAGAACACATAATGGAAAGAATCTCTCACGCCACTAAAAAGGACCATGTCGAAGTAAGACTGAAAAACCTATCACCAAAACACGACACAGTCAGAGAAATGATCTCATCATTCAAAATGGACACTAATTTCGAAGACCGAAAAGTTGAAATCACAAAGTTTAATCAAGAAAACGCTTGGAAGAAACGTGGGTTGAAACTGTCTATCATGTCCTACCCTATAATATACTCCTGGAATTTCCCTGTCACTATATCGGTGTACCATGCTGATGGTACAATTGCTATTTCTCATGGGGGTATTGAAATGGGTCAAGGTATTAACACAAAGATTGCCCAAGTGTGTGCATATGCCTTAAAAGTTCCTCTACAGAAAGTGACCGTTAGAGGGAGTAACAGCTTCGTGTCTCCTAACTCTATGGCTTCGAATGGCAGCCTCACCAGTGAATCGGTTGCATACGCTACTCTAAAAGCCTGTGAAGATCTCAATAAAAGGCTAGAAGCAGCTAGAAATGATCTCAATGAACCGACTTGGGAGCAAGTTGTTAATCAAGCTTACCAAAAAGGTTGGTAATTAAGGAAATATTTGTTTCCTCTTTACTTTGTTGCTAGGCATATTATTATAAGGAAACAAATTTCTATTTGTATGATAAATTGTATTATGTTATTTGCTAAAATTACCGTAACTCCAGTCTATTACAACTAAGTAATATACCTATTATAGGTATACATAAATAAACTTACAATTATTGCACAAGTCTTTATTAAGTCTTTAGTAATAATTAATTTGTAAGTTTATTTATATGGTTTAGTTATGTGGTTAAATTACCTACTCAATACCGAATGTGATCGTCAATTAATTTTAGGGTCATGAGTAGTTTGTTTTCGCATTCTTATTACATTAATTTGTACTCTTCTTATTATCATTAACCATTTCTCCCAAGGCATAAACCTTCAGACGACGTACATGACGTCACCAAACGATGGTCTCGTCGGGTACAATGTATACGGCGTGTGCGCAGCCGAGGTGGAGCTTGACGTACTGACGGGGAACCACATGGTGAGGCGTCTGGACCTTCTCGAGGATACAGGAGTCAGCATGAGCCCGGAGATTGATGTGGGACAGGTGAGTTGAAAAATGATACTATCATTACCTTAGGAAAGACGGCGGCACAGTGATCACGTGGCAACCTGCAAGGCTCATGGATGAAGCAGCTAGGTCTCCCAAAGGATGTGCTGTAACTGGTGTTGTACTACAGGGGCTCCAGGGTTAATCTATTGAGAGGATCCAGTGTACCTTGCAGGGGCTGATGGTAGTCACCGGGGTGGTTTTAGTGAGGTAGAAATCCCACACTCCTCACTCCACATTCTTGCTTATTAGGAAGCTTTCTTCTTAGCTTCCTTATTAGCTAATTAGCTAGGCGCCTTTTGAAGGTTTCCCCGTCATAAAGTCTAGGTCTAGGTGCCTATTTAGGTACTTTATGGTAAATTATCCATCATATAGTTATAATAACGATTCACAGATTGAAGGAGCCTTCATCATGGGCTTAGGTCTTTGGACTTCAGAGAAACTAGTATTCGAGAACTCTACTGGCCGTCTACTGACGAATAGGACCTGGAACTACAAGCCACCTGGAGCTAAGGATATTCCAGTGGACTTCAGGATTATGTTCAGACGAAACTCCAGTAACCCCGCTGGGGTTCTGAGATCAAAAGGTAAGCATTGTGTGAGTGATGTTACGGGAGGCCCAACTAATCCATACCTACCAGGATGATCGTAGTATTGAAGTAAGAAATCTTAGATTTAGACAAAGGTATGCGCCATACAGTTTTTGTACTTGACATCTGTCGTAAATTGGATACGACTTGAGAGTGATCAGTCAATCTCATCAGGGTGCTTACTCTTGAAACCAATCTCAATGTCAATACAATTATAATCCAATAAAATCTCAACAATTATACAATATCAAACTATACAACCCCTATCGTAGCTGTTTAAATAACATTTAGAGTACGGAATATAAAGCCAAACTCAATACCATTTAGTTCTTTTAATATCCACGCAATATGGATGCAATGAGCGCTAGTGTTGCTAATCAACGAGTCAGAAATTTCACAATACCAATGTCGATCGATCGGAATTGGATTCAAGAGTAGATTTTGACTGTTATGGGAACAAATGGTGGTTAATGGTTGTATTTAGCCATGTGGGCAACAAATTAACTAAATATTTATGAATGTATTACAGCGACTGGCGAGCCAGCGCTCACACTAGCAGTGGTAGTGACACATGTGCTGCACGACGCCATTGTTGAAGCTCGCTCCGAGTTCGGATACGACAACAAAGACTGGCTGTTTATCGGTAAGCGGTTATAGCATCAACATAATATTTTTGTAATTTATAGAAAGTAAAATATGTTTTGTATCCACTTGTACCTACTGTTCCCGCGGTTTTCATAAGAGTATATGAGTCCACTGAGGGACAACACATGACTGCCTCGTTGGCCGTGTGGTCGCAAGACTGCCGGGCAAGGGGTCTCGGGTTCGATTCCCGGGTCGGGCAAACTATTACTGGGTTTAAAAAAAAAAATCTCAGTAGTAGCACGGAGTCTGTAATTGTTCCCGGTACATGGCAATAGGCTCATCCCCATGGGAGTCATAACATAAATAGTGGTTATAATAAACGATATTTAGATTTTAAGTTCAAAATATAATTCCTTTTCATATTTTACTAGCTTTTACCCGCGGCTTCGCTCGCGTCAAAAAGCATAAAAAGTAGCTTATGTGACATCTACCAATACACCCAGCGCCATCTATACCAACACTTTTGTTTTCAATCGGGAATATCAAATTTTTCCTGTATATAAAGTACCCTATTATTTAATCTGGACTTCTAACTTTACGTCTGCAAAAATTCAAAGCAATCGGTTTAGTAATTACGGCGTGAAAGCGGAACAAACAAACTCACTTTCCGACTTATAATATTATAAGTAAGGATCCTATGTTTTTCCTCACTACATTCCGAAACCCATGATCTGTTTTTGATAGGGTGCGACGGGTATTAAAAAATACTGATATAAGTACCTACTAGATTAACTGTATATTTTTGTGTTTCAGAGACACCGTACAGTATAGAAAACATTCTCAAAGCGATATCACATAAAATAGAAAGTTTTAAATTAACGTAATATAAGAATGGACGATTGAACTACCGACTGGCACGCCAAACTATCCCAAAAGGTCAACATTATTTAACAAATTCTCAACTTTATACAACGAAGTTAAGGTTGATAATTTAATAGAAATTTGGCTTGGGCAGTTTTTTTTTTGTTATTGGAAAATATTCTACAAATTGATAAGCTTATAATACTTAAATAAAGAACTGTGGTTGTCTGGAATACATAGCCGCTAGTGACAAGACCGCCCACTGTACTCAAATTACTTTTACAATGTAAACTAATTTTTCTGTGTGTGCAATAAGGTATAAAATAAATAAATAAGTAGCAATAAGGATTCTTGTAAAGAGTATTATTTAATAAATTGTAATGTAATAAGTACTTACACCATCTTTTTTTATTGTTATTAACAAAAATTTAACAATACATTTAATACTTCCTTAATTTACTAAAATGCACATGTTCCTATGTGTTATATATAATCATCGGTTAATTTCGTAATCATATCTTATCTTATATCATCTTTTTTCTTGATACAGATCTTGCGAAACAAGCCCTTAACATTATGTCCCTAAAGTTCATTCCATCAAACAAAAGGTCACTTCAAAAACAGAAAAATACAGTTTTAATTTCAACATTATTTAATATTTAATATTTTTATAGTACAATTAACACTGAGTTTGTAACTAATAATAGTTTTCTTCTTCGTCAAAAGAAGGGCAGAATATTTGTCATTCCATTCCTGGAGGTAATGGCTCCACTGGGTTGGGTGGCGGGACTGGAGTCAGGGTGGGAATGGGTGTGGAGGACGGGACTGGGGTCATGGATGGAGGTGGAACTGACATTGGAGTCATGCCCGGACCCGGGGCCATCGTCGCCGGGTACGCTGGCGCTGGCTCTTGCTGTAAAGGGAAAGAGAAATGTTGTTACAATAAGTTAAACAATGAGATGATTTAGGAAATAGTTATTTTATCTATAAATATCAATTATCTGTAAGTCTATTTAGTATAAGAGCTACACTATTATAAATCTGTCTTATTTTAATTTTTTTACACTTTATTGATGTAGGGATGAAAGCGTAAGTAGATAGAAGTAGTTATAAAGTAACTTCTTTATTTATAATCCTAGTTAAGACAAAAATATCACTACCCTGACCAAAAGAAGTAGGCTATTTATTGTGTAACTGTCAATTTGAACATTCTAAATAAGCTTGATCGCATTCTTGCTCATCATTAGTCGAGATTCTTCTCACAACCAATGACAGATCGAGTGCCGGAGTGCACTCGATCGTTAGAATTAAAAGATTTTTTTTATTTGATGGGCCGACATTTGACCACTCTCGTTGGTCGTTCGATCTTTACAGAGTTGTGAAGTTGTATGAGGAGGGTAAAGTAGAGTAGGCAGTACCTGCGCGAGTGCTCGCACGTGGTGCGGCAGCGCGAGTCGTGCGGCGTGCGGCAGCGCGTGCAGATGGTGCCGGAGCGCGGCCAGCAGGCGCGGCGCGGCCGCCGCCGCCGCCAGCGCGCGCGGCGCCAGCCCGGCCAGCAGCGCGCCGCACGCCGGCACCAGGCGCTCGCAGCACTTCACCCAGCCCTCCCACGCCACCTTGTTCAGCCACACCTGGACACAGGGACAATACTACATTAAACCGGATTAAATAAGTACTCAATCAAAGATTTTAAGTTTCTGTAAAACATTTAAGTATAGGGCAATCAAATTAGAAAACTAAAACATTTTCTCAATATTTATTATCTGTACATATTCACTCCTCAAATTCTATTCTCCCTGTTGTATGGTATTAAAATTGGACAAGGATGAATTTGGTTCACGCCCACAGTGAAGATGGGGTGGTATTTTATCAATAAACCTAACAATCCCCTTCGTCCTCATAAGGCGAGGGAATTCCATAAAGATTTTTCACATTGGATTACAAAAGTCAAAGTAAAAGTTACAAGACAGCATTGGATACAGGTCACTTCCAACCACCTCTAGAAGTCATTTGGAGAGAACTATGTTCAGCAATAGATGTTATATAGCTGTTAAGACAACGATATAAGTTGAACTCAATGCCACACTCATTATGTCAATCGTCTTGTTAGACAGCAGTCTATACATATAACTAAGCATACTTGAATCAACTAAAAAAATACACTACAAAGGTGTAACCAAATAGAAATTGTACACAATTACACTCTCTATATAACGCAAATACATGTATGCACAAATTCTTACCTCCTTCTCAATAAGCAGCTGCAATATATTCAGTACGAGCGGTCCCAGTGCTGGGTACAGCGTGAGAGCTTGCAGCACTGTCCTCATCATGAGTACCGGGATCTCAGGCTCCTCGGACAACCTTTGTAGTACTGCTGATAACACCTGGAAGATATACAAGCATTATTTATTTTTTTACAATGTCTAAGGTGTTTTTATAAGATGTATAGGGGAAGTCAAGGCATCTGCGAAGATGTCTGACAGTGTTTTGTAAATTGAATTATTATTAGTATTTTCTGTTGTTAGTTTAGAATGGTTATTATCAGTCTTTAGTATTAGTAGTTCACAAAGTAGTTTGATTCGTGAAAAACTATTGTTAATGGGATCTGTGACATTTAGACATTTGTCACGGACTCCTAATAAAAGTAATAAAGGTAAGAGATAATCGATCATGCAATCTATATTTTACAGAGAAAGTTAAAACAAGATATAAAACCTTAAAGTTTAATAATTTTATTAAACTTTAAGGTTTTATATCTTGTTTAGGCATACTATTTAGGCATTGACGTATTCTGAGAAAAATCATTAATATTTATGTTATAATAGAAGGTTATACAAAATTTTACTATTAGTAAATGTTGAAATGTAGTAAACATAAAATCAATATTGTTAGTTTATTGTAGTTTCCGAACATAACTTAAGTTTCCGATTGTTGTCACATGTGGCGCTAGTGCATTCTGTCTGTTCTCTGTAATCGTTACCGGCTAATAAACATATTGTTAAACTTTCATCTCGTTTATTACTATTCAACAGTAAATACTTACGTCTTGCGTATAAGTTTGTTTCTCAGCGAAGCACAGTGCGGTGGCCTTGATGATGTACTTGAGGTCTGCCTTGCTCGGGTCTATTAGATGCAGCGTCACCAACAGTTCCGCTGGAGTAACTAGAAACAAAAAACTTATTGCTTAAAGACTATTTGGATAATATTTTAATTATTAATCAAGGACGTTTAAAAAAGGCAGACATATTTTTCACACTTTTTTTTAAGGGGGGAAAATCATCGAATGTCTGCTCCCGCCTGGGTGAGGCGGGAGGGAGTGTCAGACTCTTACTGACTAAAAACCACCCCGTTCCTTCTCCTGCACGTCGAGCCGGAGCCCCGGTTACCCGTTAGGTTCTCCGCGACATATTTTTCACACTAGGATTTTCTCCTGTGTCGTGGGTGCGTTTACAAACATACGTTTACACACATACACATGACACCCAGACCCGGAACAACAATCTGTGGATCACACAAAGAGTTGCTCCATGCGGGGATTGAACCCGCGACACGTTGCGCGGCAGCCGGTTGCCCAGCCACCGCATCAACCGTGCAGTCGAATAATGTCACTTAGAAATGATTGAAGGACTAAAATGTCAATGGTATATTTATGTGTGCATGTGTAATGGGTTACCACGTTATCAGACTTAGGAAAATGACAGATGTCCTTCGTGTCAATGTGTGTATGCTCTGCGTGTAAGTCTATAGTAGCCAGGCGCCACAATCGTTGTTTCAAGAGACCGTGTCCGCCTTTTATTCAACGTCCTGTGCCCTTAGCCAAACGCCACTTTAGCGCTTATCTACAGGGAGAATAGAAAACTAATGTCGGAATACTCAAACGCTACTCAATTTTAACTCGCGCTTAAGTATAGTTCTGTCTCCACAAATTCTTTGTAAAATGACAGAGATGGCATGATATTTAAGCACGACTTAAAATTAAGTAACGTTTCAGTGTTCCGGCTAAATGTATGAGGATGACACTGACAAATGTCAAAATTTACGTCAATTCCATAGAATTATAAAAATAAAAATATTATATAGACAAGCGCTAAGTGGCATTTGGCTACAGCTGCTGATTATTAATTCAAACAGATATACAGTGAAGGAAATCGTGAGAAACCCCACAAACATACGTGTTCAAATTTTGTGCTAAATAGTAATAAATAAAGATAGATAATACCGCCTCGTTGGCTGAGTGGACGCAAGTGCGACTGCCGGGCAAGGAGTCTCGTGTTTGATTCCCGGGTCGGATAAAGTACTACTGAGTTTTTAAAAAAAAGTCTCAGTAGTAGCACGGAGCCTGGAAATGTGCCCGGTATATGGCAATAGGCTCACCCCCTATTACATGGGACTCGTAACAAAAATAGTGAAAAGTGGGTGTCACTTCTGTGTGCACCTCTGCCTACCCCCCCGGGGATAAAAGGCGTGATGTTATATTATGTTATAATAACGCTTTAACTGAAATTCTCGTTAGTCCCAAAACCCGAGAGAATACAATTAATTGACCACAAACAACGTAAGAATAAACTTTGAAAGTATAAATAATTTACTTACAGATCAGAATACTATAATATACTGAAATGAAAGGAAATACAAAACGTATTTATTTACTCATTACATAGCAACCAATTATACATTTAGTTATTTATAGAGGATTCCCATTTCTTTAGAGATCTACATACAAATCTGGAGGAACTTTCAAAAAGGCTATAAGTACTTAATATGTTCTGATAACTTCTATGATGCAATAGGATCACCCCCCATTACATGGGACTCATAACATGAATAGTGAAAAGTGGGTGTTACATTGAACAGTGGCATTAATTGCCGTAGATAATGTGCACCTCTGCACCCTTCGGGGATAATAGGCGTGAAACATCACGCCTATTATCATACATAACATATGTATGGATGTGTTCGTTCAAAAAGTTTTTATCACATAACTTTGTATATTTATTAATCTGTAGTCCATTCATTTCATTCTACCTTCAACGTATTTACTTTACTGTCAAATATAATTTCGAAACAACCACACGTCTTTCATTGGAAAATCTACACAAGCAAACTGCAACCTTATCGCCTCAACAGAATGTATATTTCAATAATGGCTTACCTGGCGAATTTTCATCATGAGGATTCTGCAGTCCCAACAACTTGTTGAAAACTTCTTTCACGACCATTGGGTTTAATTTTATAAGCTTCGGCAGAGCTGCCAGGATCTGTGGAAAAATTATTTATTTAGCTGTCTTCTTGATGATAGTCAGTATTATATTATTTGTTTACAAAACAAATAAGATTATTATGTTTATTGAGACGCATTTTGATTTGATATAGTACTATGTTGTATCTAAAAGGAGATCAGCAATCCTGACCTTAAAAGTCAAAAATGAAATGCTCGGAACAAATTTTATGAGGATTTCATGACTACAAACTGAAATATTTGTAATCTCCCGAGTAGTATCAAAAACACTAATTAGGCAAGGTCGAATATTAAAACTAGTCCTTGAGAATCTACAGTAACTCCTTTTTGTCTGTCAGGGCCGGATTTACAATGGGAGTTTGCCCGTCTCATTTCTGTGTCAACTCATAAAGTTAAAAATATTGTCTATAAATGACACATTGGCAATCCATTTAATTTGTATATTTTGTCAACAAATTTATTTTATTTTATTTCTTTATTTGAACTTAATAATACCTTGGGCATTGCCTCTCAGTCAACCATTAAGTAGTGCAGAGATGAAAGTATCAGGTGATCAACAGCGATAGAAAGATAGAATAACAACAGAGATAGAATTTTGACACTTTTTGTATGGAGCTCATGTCAAAATTCTATCTCTAGTAAGCAAATCTACAGATAGATAGGTTACTGAAATTGGACGTAAGTAACCTCTATAAGCAATGTACTAGTATTATTACTGCCAATATTACATACCTCTTTTTTGGACAGTCCCGTGAGTACAGGTATGAGGAAGCGAACGTCTGACACTCGCGTCGCATACAGTTCCCGCACTTTTGATACCAACTCCTGGGACGGGGGCGCTGGGGACAAAACCAATATAATATTACATTTAGATTGAATTTAATTAACATAGCCTATGATTTAAAGAAGTATAGGTAAGATTAGCAGCTAGGTAAGAGCTAAAGGTTGGTAAAGGAATTTCGTAAAGGAAAAAGATGGTATTGTGTAGCAGTGGGCGTTTTTCATTGGTTCTATAGGGACAAACGATTAGATAGATCATCTAAAGAATTGGTCAGAGGTTTCCATAGACACAATCACGAATAATTAGTTATATTATATGAAATAGGTCTAAAAATATCCAAATTAGAATAACAAAATTGAACACTCGTCTTTCCATCTATCAATCTATTTAGACTGCACGGTTGGTGCGGTGGCTGGGCAACCGGCTGCCGTGCAACGTGTCGCGGGTTCGATTCCCGCACGGGACAACACTTTGTGTGATCCACAAATTGTTGTTTCGGGTCTAGGTGTCATTGTGTATGTAAACTTGTATGTTTGTAAACGCACCCACGACACAGGAGAAAATCCTAGTGTGGGGCAACGTTTAGAAAAAAAAACAAAAATCCATCTAATACTATATCAAAGGCTTACCTTTCTCAGTGAATATATGGACTAGTCGTGTGAGTAAGGTCTCCGCGCCTCGTGGACACTCGTCCAGCAGCGCGACGTATGCGGGGCTGAGCTGCGTGGCCTGGCTGGCGGCGGCGGCCCGCACCGGGGCCTCCACCGCGCGGAGCACGCAACGCTTTGCTTCCGACCCGGCCGAACCGTACACTCGGGCCACTTCTATTATTAGTTCTGCAAAGAAGACATGAGATTAGCATGTAATTCAATTTGACGTTCCAAAAGTACCTAATTAAGTTGTCAAACAACAACTATTGTTCTTTAATTGTGTCTATAAGGACGGTATTCGACGAGTTAAGGATTAATTGAAATAAATAATTCGACTTGAAAATTTGTTATATGGAAAGCATTTAATTAGAGTACTTAATTCTTATTTTATTCTACTTTTTAATAAGGATGTTGACAATTTCTTATCCCTTATATTGAGGATTTAAAAAAACCAAATAACATGCTAATAAATGCTACCATATTAAGGAATTTTGTTTTCTGTACCCAAACCACTTAGACATCATACAACTGGAAAGCACTGCTCTCACAAATTAGCTAAGTAAAATAAACTTTATATTACAAACATTGGATAAGTCCTTACCTTCATTCGTTGGCAATAACGCCATAATAAGATTAAGGCACATATGATACAGTTCATCAGTCCACATGGCCCGGCCAGTGCGCGTGTCGCACAGCTCCTGTGGTGGGTGTGGCATGGAGATGAAGCCCAGGTACAGTAGACTGTGCTTCTCTATCACCTTGCGAACCGCGTCTGATGTACGGCTATATATCTTCAGTACGGCTTTCAAGGCCACGTCTCTTATTTCCTCGTTTTCATTTACTGGAAGAGTGGATAATATAATTATAGATGGATTATAAATAATGTAGGTAACTGTCTCAAATCGAATACAAAGTTATTATTTAATGTCTTGGAGAAGACATGCTCTGTTAATAGAAGAAAAAAATTGAAGGTTGCTATGTTTAGAAATTCAAATTAACCATCACCCATCTAACTAATAAAACAAAATATACTCACAAACATGGCACACCAACGACGTGATATATTTGTGTGCCCTTGGAGGTCGCATTAAGCAGAGTTCCTCCAATAACTCCAGAGCCAACAATGCGACCTTTTCCTCCGTAACCAGGTGCTTCAAATAGTCCACCGCCTCATCAGTCACCACCGGACACTCAGAGTATATCTTCCTCAACAACATGTCCTTGGAACCTTCCATTACGGGGTCTCCACGCTCTGAGATCTGAGTAATCAACGCACAAAGCAACTGATTGTAATTCTGATCATGCTTCTCATGTACTTTGGGCTGCAACGTCACCGGATGACGATTGAAACCCTGCATAAATGCATACTCTTCATACAGCCACGATAAAGCCAAATCGATTCTGTTCGCTGGATCGTCTAGAATATGATTTAAGACTAAATCTCTTAACTCTGGTGTGTAACTTGAAGCAAATATTGTGATAAACTTAGCACGAATATGTGCCACTCCACCGATGGCGCTCTCCGTCTCTGCGTTCAATATCCGACTCACAGCTTGAGTTATCAACCTCTCTTTGATCTCCTTCGGTATAGGCCGCGTGATCTCCTGCAATTTCAACAACTTCACTTTCTGTTTTAGCTTAGGAACTGTCGGTGTCTGTGGTGGTACTGGTTTCTCTTTCTCCTTCTGTTTTCTCTCATCTTCCTTCAGGTGGTCCTGTCTCGTTTCCTCCATAAGCTTGGATACCGCATTCTCGATTTGCCTGTCCTTTGTGGACTCTTGCAACTTTGCTACGGCGTTTTTGAGCGTGACCTTCTCCTCGTCGTCTCTGAGTAGGGGTATTTTAGATGTGAGATCAGAGAGGGAAGACGTTGCAGGAGGTGGAATTGGTTCCGGCTCATCTTTGTTGTTGATCAACGCAAGCAACATCTTCGCGAGATTTTTCTTCTGAACTTTGGTCCCGGAGTTAGGAATAGGTTTATAGACATTCACGAAGTTGCTGGGCATTTCATTTGGAAGGGAACTCACAAGAGTGTGCGTAACGAGGTTGACTACATTATCTACATTGTTTATTCCTTCGAATAAGGAGTCTTCAGTAGGAACTACGGGTGCTTTTGGAGCAGGGGGAGTATCATCCTCGAACATGTTGAAGTCGGTCCTGCTGTTGCTGTCACTGCCCTGGCTGTTACTCTGTGGGGAGTCTATCCTCATCCTCTTTGATGGAACATCGCCATTCTTCAGTTCACCGACGCGCTTATTCCTTTTCTCTTTTGGGAGCACCTTATTTATTTCCTGCGTGGTCATTCCGATGTCTAACAGCAGTTGTGTTAGCTGCGGCATCATGTCATTGGAAGACGGATGCTTTATTAGGTTAATTAGGAGCATTTTGAGGTGTTTCCGTACTGAGTTCACTTGTGACTGTGATAACGTTGGTGGTAGTGTCGTGTGAAGGTCACCCAGTGCTTGAATGACTCGCGGCATGAACTTTGGTCTGAATTTAGCGAGCAGGCAGAGTGTGGTCATACAAGCCATCAAGTTCACGCTAGATATGTGTTGTGAGTTGTGGAATTTTACCAGCAATTTGAATATATGCCTGGAAGGAAGAAATATTTGGATTTGAGCATACATAAGTAAAAAATGTAATCTATTTTTAATCTTACTGATACTTATTCAACAGCAACATGGCAAGGAGTTTGAGTACAAAACAGTATACCTGTAGATCTAAATATTATATCCAGTGTACTGATTCTTTCGAATTTAATATTCTGAATAGTTAATAGCAGAATCTAAAATTGTGGCCTGACCAATATAAAAATACTAACATACTACTGATATACTCCACAGCATAAAAACAAATGTAAAATATCGGTAGTAAATTCTAATTTACATCAAGCGTTACTTACTCAGATTCTTCTTCTAAAGCCCGGCGGTTGATGAAAGTCATGTTAGCAGGCAGAGTGTCCAGACTGAACTCATCTCCTGCTCCATCACTAGGAGTCTGAAGCAGGACCACCTCTTCCAGGAACTTTATGGAGTGGGTCCGTATGCCTTCATTGTCGCTGTCTATCATGTTCAATACTAGTAGCTGTGGACAAGAAATTGATGATAAATAATATGTTTTGATGTTTTTATAAAAAATATCGTGAGACATACTAAATTAACTAGAAAGTGAATATACTAAGAAAAGCTCTACTAATGACGACGCGACGTCGCCGCAACCGCGCACGTTGCTCATGAGGAAGAACCCCCCTATGGTTCGAAACTAGTAGAGCTTTTCTCAGTATATTCACGTGAGTAACCCGTGATTTTAGTTAATTTAATGTTTCAACATTTGGATAATTTGTTGTTATGGTATAACTGAGGTTTAAAACTTTATTGATAAAGAGAAAAAGGGCTGCCTTGTAAATTAGGCCAGCATGATAGCCAAGCAAGAGGTCCTGTGTTCTAATCTCTAAAGTATTAAATTAAGTCCTGTTTTATTTATTTTAGTCTTTTATGTACAAAAATTAATTATGGCACAAAAGGTGAACTTAATGCCATATGGCATTGCCTACCAGTCCACCTTAGGGTTTAAGTAGAAAATCTGCGAAAAATAATGTGTAGAGAATAAGCTATTAGCAAAGAGAGAGAGGAAAACAAAATATGGTAATTATTAAATAATATAGCTACTATCTTATACTATTATATAAAGCGGAAGAGTTTGTTTTTTTTGTTTGAATGTGCTAATCTCCGTAACTACAAGTCTGATTTGAATAATTCTTTTTGTGTTGGATAGCGCATTTATGGAGGATGGCTATAGGCTATAAAACATCACGCTACGGCTAATAGGAGCTGAGCAGAGCGTGTGAAACCGCGCAGAAGTTGCTAGTATTATTATATATTACATAATAGTAAATAGTATACTGTTCTGCTGTTTGCTTAACTAACACATATTTTGACATACTTAGATGAAACATTCTCCAAGCTATCCCTCTGTTAGGCAATCTACAAACTGAATTAGATAGAAAAATATGAAGCAAGCTCTAAATCCTTACCTTCAGCTGTGTGATGTTTTCCCACACAAACTGCATTTCGGACATTTCAGCTCTACCCTGACATATCCACATGAGAGTATTACGGTACACAATACTGGACGCCTGAATAGCTCGCTTCTGTACAGCAATCACCAAGTCACTGACTAATAGACGCAGTTCTGCTATGATCTTGGGTATGTATTGCGGATGGAGTTTACTGAAAGAGAATTGTTTTATGCATTAATACATTCATATATCATACTCTAAATTTGTTTATACAAAGTAGTCTCTAAGTAAACATCGGAAATATGGTCTATAATGGAGATAGTGAAGGACAATTCCAGAGGCCATACTACTAATAAGAATTTTTCTAAAACAATATATTACAATAAACTGGTTTTGTATAGCTTAATATGTGACCTTGTGTATCTAGTAGGTAATTGTCTTACTATTGTCTTGAATTTAAAAAAAATATTTCTCTTGTACTTCTGTATGATGACTGACAAGAATGCGCAGGATTCACAAAAAAAGATACTGTCTGATATAAAGAATTTGCTTAATTATCTTACTGGATTCTTCATAGCAACAATATTTACAAAGAGAAAAGATTATTGTACCAATTGAACCATTCAACTAATACAATATTTTGTAATGATGTATATTAGCCTTATCATTTCTTTCATTACTATTCCCTTTACTCTCTAACATATCACATAAGGCAGACAATACAAAATAAACTGTATCTTTCTAGATCAACAATCACCAAAACAAGTTCTAAATAGATAATCTACCAGAACAGGAGTAAATGATTGTAATTAAAATCCATTTATAAGTGTATCTGATGGTAAATGTGTTGGCAGAAAATACCACAAGCTTCAGATATCATTTACAACTATTAATAACATGTTTATATGTGTGTAACCTAAGAAAAATAATAGTAAATAAAATGCATTTATATGTTTATCTGATGGTAAATGTGTTGGCAGAAAATACCACAAGCTGTAGATATCATTTACAACTATTAATAACCTGTTGATGATACACAAATGATTGGTGATTTGAAGGTATAGCCACAAGAAATCATTCTATCAGTTAAAAAGACAAGGCGATAATGTTCTAAATAGAATATCAAGTACGAATAATATAGTAAGAAAGAAATAAAACAAAATGAATACCAACCTTAACTCCTCAATAAACGAGATGACCTGCTTCTTCACGTCCGTTGATTTGTCGTTCACATAGCTCAGGATGTTATCTATGTACAATGGAATCACTGAAGAACACTGATACAGCATCAGTTCCACCGCTTTCCTCACCAAATCCGATCTCCTGCCCCCTTCCGCCATTCCAGCATCGTTTATCCATTGTACAAGCTGAAAACCATCACGGTATCCACTTTAATCAACACACCATAACGCCTACTTAGCAATTTTCACTAATAAACCACTTGTTTTTGCAAAAATACCACAAGATATTTTGATAACAAAGGTTCACGCGTTCACGCTCATACAAACCTGGTTTTGTGCGAGGGTATTACTTTGTTTGCTTGATAAACTAGCCATTTTCTATTTTATTTACTTCACGCGTGGTTAATAAATAATACTTGACGAAAGCATTGCACTTCTATCAATAAATAACGATAAATGAATGTTCAGTGAAGGAATACGTTTAGATCACAGACAGACACAGATTATATTATGACAGACACCAAAGAGTTTAAGACTTGGATTGGACCATAGATTATACACTATGAATAGGGCGGTGTATTTTTACTGGTGGTAAGTCTTTAGAGGTTGACATTTAATGTGCGATTTTGCCAGAGTTTATTACAAAATACAAAGTTTATTACAGAAAAACAACAAAATGCCTTTGATTAAAATTAAATAATGTCTAGATTGAGCGTCACCATACAATAGCAACAAAAATGACGTTCCAAAAATTCTTGCATGTGTGCGTGCGGTTTGTGTATTTTGATGTGAGATTTTTTGTCTATTTTTTTTCCGTTGAGACCAATGAGAAGGAAATATTGAAACATTAATTGGCAACACAGATAAAATATGGCGGCAAGCGGCAATTAGGACAAAAACATATTAAATTGAATAATGTATGTAGGTAATTATTAATTAGGTACTTAGCTATTGATAAGTAATCAGGAGGTAGGTGCCTACCTAATACTCAAAGGTTGCGTGTAAAGGGTACCTTCTTAGCATCGTTCCACGACAATAGGTTACCTACTTATGAGAATGGGAACTTCTAATAATAAAAATAAACAATTAGGCAGGCATTATTATTATAATTAGGTAATAAAATTACTAAACTATTATAAAATACAAAAATGAGAAGTCTATCATTAAACCACCAGAGGTGCTTGTTGTACAGGAACGTAAGGCTGCAGTTCATAGACTGGCTGCTTCTGTCTGTCTTCCAGGACCAGATAATAACTTCTTACTATGATCATGACCACGAGTAGAGTTACTGCAACAAAAATACATAAAAATGTCATTAACTGCATCGTTTTGGTCGAGGGTCGAGTGCAGTAGTGTGTGATCAAGTAGGTGCTGTTAGATTCCCAGATCGCACAAAATAGTTTTTTTTTTCAGTTTAAAAAACCGAAATAGCATGGTACCGTTTCTGTGCATAACAATATTGAGTTATCAATTATCATACTGGTTACATATTTTTTATACTAGTTATAGTGGATACGTCTGACATATTTACAAAAATATCATTTTTCAAATCCTTTGGTACATTATGGACACAGGTTTTCCCACGGTTTCCCATCCAAATTTTTTTATGGCATAAGCCGGTAAACGAGCAGACGGATCACCTGACGGTAAGCAATCGGCGTCGCCCATGGACACCTGGAACACCAGAGGCGTTACAAATGCGTTACCGGCCTTTTGAGGATTAGAAGTTTGAGGATCGTTGGGAATTCAGGAATCGGGGAGATTGGGGAAGAGGAGGGTAATTGGGCCTCCGGTAACCTCAATCACACGACGAACCACAACGCAAGCGTTGCTTCACGTCGGTTTTCTGTGAGGCCGTGGTATCACTCCGGTCGAGCCGGCACATACGTGCCGAAGCATGGCTGTCCCACACTCAACTCAAACTGTGACAGTTCAGTAAAAACAACATAAAGTACCTGGTAGTGAATGTTCCCTAAATATTGATTTGTATGCTTCTGCCTATCAAGTAAAATAAAGAAGATTTTTGAGATACTTACAAGACCACTTGAGTATGGGCAGTGTGGCTACAAATCCCATAAATACAAATGTCACAATAACCAATACTAAACTCAGGCAGAACATCAGTAACGTCGCTCGGAAGTAGAACCTCAGGTAATTCGGCTTTTCCTGTAAAATAAAAATAATAGGCTTGAACCAGATTCGGGGAAGCCACTCGCAAAAGGCGATGATAGTCATCGACGATACGAGATCCTCCACTTGGCACTTGGCAGGCTAATAAGAGGTCTCAGTATAAAACTGAATCTTTTATCAGAAGAAGGCACTGGTCACTGGCTGTTATGGCACCCACGGAAAAGGAGTGATAATAGTAATATCCATAAATATACTATGTACTAGCTTTTACCCGCGGCTTCGCTCGCGTCACAAAAAGATAAAACGTAGCCTATGTGACTACCCATCCCTTCAACTACCTTCAGTTGAAAAATCACGTTAAGTACCTCCGTTTTGCCGTTTAAGACAGGCAAACAAACAAACAGCTGTTCGCTTGCGTGGAATTCGGTTATAACGCGCGTTTTAGATTTTTCCGTGGGAATGAGAAGTTCTGCCGCGGTAAAGCCTTGCTTTTCCAGGACTCAAACTACCTTTATACCAAAATCGATTCAGCCGCGTGAAAGAACAGAAGAAGTTATTTTCGCATTACCACTACTTTAGACATCTACTTAGAAATAAACCACTTCACTAATCTAACCTAACTAATATAGCTACTGTATCAATCAACGTAAACAATGAACAAAGCGTCTAGGAACGACGAAAAAAAATTACTATAGTACTTTAAATATCTACCCAGAAAAAATAAAACTCAACTAATCAAACCTACTAAGCGAACTTAGCGAACAATTAATAATAATATAAGCGCTAGATGCGTACCCAAAAATATAGATGATTTTTTTTTTTTAGGTTAGGACCACTCGTACTCGTAGTTCAGCACACTAAGGCTGTTGACTACTTAACCGAAATATAGATGATACGGAAGCTCGGAACCTATACTTTCGCCGGTAACGAAACCATAGCGCCATCTAACTCGATCCTAACGCCATCTATCGAGCATTGAAACAACAGCGTACAATATATTTGCTAATTGTTGAGTACTGTTGCCACTATGGTTTCGTGTACCTTTAACAATCTAAAATCTATAAAATACGCAACTTAATGTAAAATGGTTGGAACCAAAATTTAAAAGCGAAGAATACCTAAAAAACACAACGCTATTCCGTTTTATAAACACTCAGCACCATCTATCGCCAAGTAGCGTAACTACCACATAGACACCAATTTCGTGTACCGTTAACAACCTAAAATCTATAAAATACCCAATTCAATGTAAAATGGTAGGAATCAAAATTTAAAACCGATAAAAATACTTAAAAAACAACGTTACCCCGTTGAATATATAATAATAAACACTCAGCGCCATCTATCGCCAAGTAGCGTAACTACTACATAGTCACCAATTTTGTGTACCTTTAACAACCTAAAATCTATAAAATACGCAATTTAATGTAAAATGGTTAGAACCAAAATTTAAAAGCGAAAAATACTTAAAAAATAGCGGAACTACTACATAGACACCAATTTCATGTACCTTTAACAACCTAAAATCTATAAAATACACAATTCAATGTAAAATGGTAGGAACCAAAATTTAAAAGCGATAAAAGTACTTTAAAAGCACAACGCTACCCCGTTTTATAAACACTCAGCGCCATCTATCGCCAAGTAGCGTAACTACTACACAACGTTACCACGTTGTGTATTTTAAGTATTTTTACATAAAAAATAGCAAATAAATGAGTCGAAAAGCGCACTGAATAAGTGTAGATTAACACCAAATAAGCGCTATAGATTAAAGCGTGAAATTTCCAATTAGTAGGTAATTCGTTGAATTGTTTTAGATGGCACAAAGCGCCATCTACAGGAATACACACAGCGCCATCTATACTAATATTTTTGTTTTCCTCGGAATATCACATTTTTCCGGATAAAAAGTACCCTATTATTTAATCTGGACTTCTAACTTTACGTCTGCAAAATTTCAAAGCAATCGGTTTAGTAGTTACGGCGTGAAGGTGGAACAAACAAACAAACAAACAAACTCACTTTCAGATTTATAATATTAGTAAGGATTAGTAAGGATATACTAATGACTGCCAATAAAAAACTGTTGAAGGTAAATCCTCCGCTAACGTCGGTCACCGGGGACCCCCATGGCGTTTAACGTGTTAAATGTTTTTAATAGTTTTTTTTTATATTTGATGGGCCGACGTATAACCTTGCTGGGATTTTGCCACGGACCCCGAACGGTATAAATACATCACTGGGTGATATAATACCTGGGTATTTTTTTTAAAGGTGGGAAAATCATCGAATGACTGCTCCCGCCTGGGTGAGGCGGAAGGGAGTGTCAGACTCTTACTGACTAAAAACCACCCCGTTCCTTCTCCTGCACGTCGAGCCGGGGCCCCGGTTACCCGTTAGGTTCTCCACGACGTTAGGTTCTCCGCGACAATACCTGGGTATGGACCTATACGACTTACTTACTCTGCATTTACCTGAAGCTTGATAAATGTCGAGTAGGTACCTACAAAAATAGCTCAGCCTAACAACAGCACAGTCAAAACAAGATTAAGATTAATCTTATCAATATCATTGGTTCATTCTTATTACCACAGAGTAAAATATTTTGTGAATATTTTCAGTCAAGTGCCGCTAAAGATAGGAGAGATATCTATATAATAGGTATCATTTTTATTTTGTGACTAATACGTAATTCGCATAAATAGGTATTATGATTCAAGATTTTAGTTCCGGTGACAATTTAGGCTAGGTCATGTTTTTTAGTAAAGTGATGCCTATACGTTTTACGTAGAATTGTGGCCAGCGCATGAACCTACTCCAACGCATCAATTTTTGTAATTGTATTTTCGATTTCATACCGTAACAATAGAGTTGAAAATCGAATAAAGAAATTTGACAGACAAAATAATACATAGATTGACCTGCTGCCCACTATACGGCATGACTTTTTTTTTAAAAGGGGAAAATCATTGAATGATTTCTCCCGCCTGAGTGAGGCGGGAGGGAGTGTCAGACTTTTACTGACTAAAAACCACCTAGTTCCTTCTCCTACACGTCGAGCTGGAGCCCCGGTAACCCGTTAGGTTCTCCGCGACATACCTACAACATGACTTACGATGATAAAAAAATTCCCAGAAGAAACATTACGTATGTCGAATACAGAAACGACATTTCGTCGGCATCTGATTATGACGAAATGAGGCTGATGTCATTACTTATGAACCTCTCCAATAAATAGGATGAAGAAGATTATTGTTATTTGGTATCATGAACAGTCATTAAGACTTCATTGTACACACGGCTATACATCGAGCTATAGATAACCAATATAAACTGAACGTTAAATGTGCGGAAAATTAATGCGATGCGACGCCAGGATAAACTGGTTTAGTATAGATTGATGTGTGGCCCTGTGTACGTTAGTATCAGAGGCGTAATTATACCGTTCAATTCATCGGATGGGCACTCTTTTCCCTTTAAAAAGAGAGAAGTTCAAATAAAAATATCTAAACCCAGGTTCAGAGATTCTTATCTGAACTTCTCTGCCCCTCCCAGCTCGGAGCCCGTGGCATATTATCAACTTTACACCCTTTAATTACGCCATTGCACTGGTTTCTATGCAATGTGATATTTTCTTTGATGAATTTGTTATGAAGGTGTAAAACGTTGGTGTTCACGTGGGGTCGTTACCTATGCCTATTTATAATACCTAGGTAGGTACTAGAGAATGAATGATAGGTATTCATAATAATATGATAAAAAGAAAATTGAACTGATGAAAGTTAGCAAAGGTTACCTTACAGCTGGGCTGGTATTAGTAGGTAACCCATCTCAATCTAGAATACAGCCGAGTCGAAACGGTCAACGGTGTTCTCCAGTGTTCTCCACCTAGTCCATTATAGACCTTATTCCCGATGTCTAGAGACTACTTTTATATGAACAAATGATGGATTTTTCATAATCGGGGATTAAGAACTTATTTGGATCCAAAGGTTTTGGATTATTTTCGGACTGTATGTAGAATACAAGCGGAAGGCCTTGTCTTGCACATGCTGAACTGATCCCATTTCACCGCAGCCTTGGGACATGAATTATGCACCCATTAGTATTAATATTTATAAACAACACTATAATCTGTATGTGTCACCTGTTTTAACGTGTGAAAGTTTTTTCTTTCTTTACCAAAATGAAGTAATGTTAAGTATTATTTATAATAACTATCGTGAGACATATTAAATTCACTAAAAATCGCGGCTCACGTGAAACTAGTCTACTAATTAGTCTATAATTTAGCTTTTCTCAGTATTTTCACGTGTGTACCTACTCCGTGATTTTTAGTTAATTAAGTATTATTTAGGTGTATATATAAAGTTACTTACCCTATGTGCTCCAATAATTAACACGATATTAATAGCAAGATTGATCAGGAACACTAACAAATAGTACGCAAACGACAGATACAGGCCCAAAGCCACTTTCTTGACTTCAGTTGGTGGATGTTCAGGATTTGGTCTATTTTCATTATTCTCTACGAATTTTGTAACTCTAAAGATTGACCATGAAACTGTAGCTAAGGTCATGCAGGACATAAACTGTAAAAGAAATAAAATATATAATAAATAAAAATTAATTTATAACTCCTATACGATTAAAGAAATTTATTTATGTATTTCTGTTAATTATTGCTATTCAAAACTAGCAGGCGCTATAAGTAAACTTTAAAATAAATGATTTATTTAAAAAATTAAGAAATATTCAGTACTTACAATAGAAAAATATCCAATGAGCAACACGCCGATTTTCAGCGGTATGCAATAACAACATTTATTGTACCTTGGAAGTTCGAACACCATGTTTGTTTATTTTTAACACAACAAAACAATAACCTATTCAGGTACGTAAATAACACAATATTTTTTAAAAGTAATATTAACTTAATTTCGAGAAAAGAAATAGCAAAAATGTCACAAAAACAATGCTTTAAACACGTACCAACGTGTACGTAGTGTCGGATTATTCTTTAGCCACAATTTTATCAGTTATCTATCAGATAGCAAAGGGCGTTGTCGATAACAAGTGACCAATGAACCATAAGTAAATAAACTATTTCGTTACAATCAACGTTAATTATTTAGGTGTGTTTTTAGGTTATTATGAAAATCCAGTCGATATCTAAGATTCCATAGTAAGTTTGCTCTAATTTAAAACGTCATGTAAAAAGGTACTTAGGCGTTATCGTTATAACGTGAATGGAGCTGTACCTGTCTGTACTCTATATTACCTATACCTAGTCCATTTGTCTGTGTCTGTGTTTGTCGATCATAGATAGGTAATATTCATTACTAGCTGTGCCCGCGACTTCGTTCGCGTGGAATAGTGACTTACTGCGTTTATCCCGTAGGTGATAGCGTGATAATTTGTAGCCTATATGTTAACCCGACCTGTTAGTAAAAATCATGCAAAATTTGAAGTAAATCCATGGAGTACTTTTTGAGATCATGCCGGATATACATACAGACAAACAGACAAAAATTCTAAAAACTATATTTTTGGATTCAGTGTCGACTATAGAGCCGCAAGTATTCTTTAAAAAAATATTCGATGTACAGTTTTGACTTTTCTACTACATATTTTATTATATGTATAGAATTATAGATGTACTTATACCACGATCATAAGGAACAGAAATATTCTAAGCCCCTATCGTGCCATGAATTGAAACTAGTCGAGTACCTACCTCCTTGACTCCTTGAATATCAAGACATTCAATTAGGTACGCAACAGGATACAAACAAAAAGCTAAAAACTCTTTTATTAATATAATACCTATCTGAATAATAATCACATACATTATAACTTTACAGAATAGGGATGATGACAGGGTATGAAAATTAAACATCTAATTAGTCCGTCAGTTAGGTCATGAAAAAATATTAGACACGTATTTTTTTATTTTGTCGTAGGTATAATAAAACGATACTTAGATAAAACGAATCAAAGTTTAGGAGTGGGGGCTAAAACGTCATTTCTAAGTAAAAAATGTACATAGAAGTGACGTCACGCGTCATTACAAATCAATATTTCGTCGGACGTATTCGTTTCTGTAAGAAAATAAAAAATACGTGTCTAATGATATAAAATAATCTAGCAGACGGGCTATCTCTGTCACTTGATTGCTATCGCTATAAAGTTGTGCACAACATTTCTTTGGCGTTTGGGGCCTTAGAGTCACGACCGACGCGGACCTCATTTAGACCAGGTTCACAATCAGGTCTAGCTGTAACTGCTGCTATGAATTTAGCTTTTTCTTTTTCTCTTTCGTCCAGGTCTCTTTCCTGAAATTCTTCCATCAAGTCCATGTAGTAACTGTAGACCACTATGAAGTTGTAAAACTCTAAAACTGGAAAGAATTTGCGTTAGTAGAATATGATCTCTATGGTGATGATGATAGACTTTAAAGTCACAAATTGAAGAGTACTGGGGTAAAGTTAATTATCAAGCACCAAAGGCAAGTCCTTAAATTCATGTAGAATTGTAGAACATCACACCAAACTACCAAATTCCTTTTATAGATTTTCGACGTTATCCCAAAAATCATAGAGTTGAAAATCTATTATGGGAATCTGTAAAACTTTGCAGACTTACTGATAACCATGAGAAACACTAAGTACCAGCCGATGAGATGCAGGTGAACGATACAGAGCATGGACAGGAAGGTTGTCTCACTTATCCAACAGAAGAACCTGCATACTACGTATTGGCCTATGCGGAACGGATTGCGCTGAAAGATAAACAGTTGTTGCTAATTATAGGGATGTTAACACTTGCAAACTGGGTTAGGACTCTGTAGTATGTACTTATTGGGGGTTTTTTTGGGAAAGCCATGCTTCGGCACGAATGGGCCGGCTCGACCGGGAGTAATACCACGGCCTCACAGAAAACCGCCGTGAAGCAACGCTTGGGTTGTGTTTCGTCGTGTGATCCTCAAACTCCTAATCCCCAAAAAACCGGTGACGCAGTTGTAACGCCTCTGGTGTTCCAGGTGTCCATGGGCGACGCCGATTGCTTACCATCAGGTGATCCGTCTGCACGTTTACCGGCTCATGCCATAAAAAAAATCCAATGATTTCTTTGGCCTTCTTCTTTAGGCGAGTTGACTCGGTCGAGGGACTCTGGCAACAGCTTAGGCCTTTAGCGAGATTTTTGGGTTACAAACTGTTAAGGAGGATAAATAATACGCAGGCTTTTAAGCACCGGAGCAAAGTCACATCACCACTCATGTGAACTGGATATATATTTGAGAAATACTCTATTAGTTTCAAGTTATACCGGGGCCCTTAGTACGAGAATGTTTTACGTTTAAAGTAGTTCTGATTGGTTGCTTCATTGGAGCCGGCCAATCAGAGCGGCGAACGGTTATAAAGGGAATCTTTAAATCTTCGGGACTCATGAGTAGCATGCGCAGTATGGTGACGTCGCGGAGCCAACTGTAGAAGAGTTTTCTCTAGTAGTGCCTTTGACTAAATTATATTTAATTTAGTAAGTATGTCTTACGGAAGTATTTGAAAAAAAAAGATACTTACAGAGTACAATCCTGAACCCAAAACTATGGAGAAAATAAAGAGGAAGCTCTCAGTAATAATCATTATAAGGTGGCCAGTGAACACAGGAAAGTAGTGGTCATCGTCTGGTGGTCTCTTCGTCATGAGCATGGCTGTTATAGGCAAGGAGACTGGCAGGAAGGTATCCACCATCGCAAGGATGAAGAATATCAGTAAGGAAAGGGATCGTAACTGAAAATACAATGATAATGATCGGTATCTTGCTATGCCCAGTCTACATACTTCACAATTGGGTAGTTGCCAGGGTAAGAAAATTAAAAATCTAATTAGTCCGTTAGTTAGATAATGAAAAAATATTAGAGACGTATTTTTTTATTTTCTTGTATAAAGCTACAATACTTAAATATAATGGCGTTAAGTTTAGGAGTGGGAGGTCGTTACGTCACAACGTGTTGTAAAATGTTGCACGCTGTGACGTCACACGATATTTCAAATGAATATATCGTCTAAAGTATTGAATTTTGTGAGAAAATAAAAAATACGTGTCTAATGTTTTGAAATAATCTACCAGACGGACTTTAAAATAAAATTTAGGAAACTACCCTATTATGTAACTTTTAGCAATAATTGCAACAGTGATTGCTACTTGGACGTTGGTGGTCTAACATAAAGGCGTCACTACGAGAATGAAGTATATTTTGTTGTATTTATAGTTACGTATGTAGCTGTAGTAATGACGGCGATAGAATAAAAGCGGACAAAGTTAGGAGACATTTCCTTGCCTATCTTTTTGGTAGAAGGTTTTAGAACAGTCTAGCACGTACTAAGTTATAAAATTAAAATTCTACTGATAAGTATTATGTATGGGTACGAAAGTTTGTGAGGATGTATGTATGGATGTGTGTTTGTTACTTTTACGTAAAATCTACTTAATCTACTGTATGGATTCGGATGAAATTTGGTTTAGAGATAGATTACAACACATGAAGCATGGAGACAACAATTTTATCCTGAAAAAGCAGCGAGGCCGCTGGCAGAAGATAGTAATTCTGAAAGTATTTACCAAAGTCCATATTAAAATAACAATGCATCCAGTTTTCAAAGAATATAAAAGAAGAAAGGACACCAACGTCGGTAAATTAACATTGAGATCGATGCACATTTACTAACGTAGGTAAGTTGATCAAATAAAATACATTCACAATTTTATAAACAAACGGGTTACAATCAAAACAATCAATAGCAAATTGTCAAAATGATCTTTGACGTCTTTGACGCATATGTACTAACTTTTTTATGACATGATGTGTCTTTGAAACCTATAATTTACAGCCTATGTTAAATACTTATTTCTTGCAATGACTGTACAGTTGGCGCGCAACCGAATGTCGCGCAATGTGGTTCAATTCTCGCACAGAACCACTCTTTGTGTTTTTTATGGAATAGGCGGCAAACGAGCAGATGGATCACCTGATGGTAAGCGATCAGCGCCGCCCATAGACACCCGCAACACCAGAGGAGTCACTGATGCGTGATCCACAAATTGTTATTTCGGGTCTCAGTGTCTGGTGTATGTGAACTTGTATGTCCTGTATATGTGCGTACGACGTGCTCCATCGTAGACCGCATCATCACTTACCACCAGGCGAGATAGTGGTCAAACGTCGGCCCATCAAATGTAAAAAAAACCTTCCTATGATTAAAATATAAAATTTATAACATATTGTATATTCACCTAATGAGTCTGATGACAAGAACCTAATTAACTAATTAGAATGATGATTGTAGTCTTCTGATTATAATGAGCCTACTATGTGACTGTACGACAATATCACTAATTAGAGGTATAAAAAGCTGAAGTTCTTAGTTGATATTGTTGCGAGATATTTCAAATCCAATCAATTGTTGATTCTATGTAACGTACCTACATGGCATATTTTGTGATAAGTATCCCTTCCTCTCCACCTCTGCATATCCCTTTGCATATCGGAGAATAAAGAGCGTCATGTTATTTCTGTGAGCTAAAAATACAATTTACATAATGATTCTTTTTTTTATGAAATAGGAGGCAAACAAGCAGAACGATTTCCTGATGGTAAACGATCATAGACACCCGCAACACCAGAGGAGTCACAGGTGCGTTGCCGGCCTTTTAAACGACGACGCTCTTTTCTTGAAGGTTTGAAGGTCGTATCGGTTCGGAAATACCGCCAATGACAGTTGATTCCAAAGTTTTGCTGTGCGAGGCAGAAAGCGCAGCTGAAAAGACGAAACAAACAATTCCTCAGAGCACTTCCCGTGCTATAAGCGATAGAAAATGCACAACGAAACTACATCTCTACACTTACGATTCTGTGGCTAGCATTTCAATTTATCCATTTTCGACTTTATTCCAAAACTTTATAGTTGAAAATTTAATACACAGACGGAAAAGTATAGTTTAACCTGCTGGCTACTGACTTTAGTCAGGTCCGTTATCAGAATGGACTTTGTATTAACCCTGAAAGGGAGGATATTTTTGTGGCCTATCCCGTCGGGAATTTTATGAATCAACGCAATTTTAGATAAAGCGATGACTGTTCGTTTCGTATCCTGTTTACCTACAATAAGTACCTACCTACTATCTATTTAATTTTGTTATCTTCCTCCATGTCCCAAAATACTGGATGTTATTGTACTATTCTAGTGCCCCACTTTAAAAGATAAAGTAGGAATGGTAGAATAGAATTTTTCTTGCATGCCCATCTTGTCTTTATAAGAAAGTAATGACGTCACACCTTTTGTTTCTTCCGGAGTTGCGAACAACTTAGCAGGTTGTCAGGACTCCGGCTCGAAGTCCAGGAGTAGGTACAGGGTGATTTTTAAAGTCAAATTCAAAGTCAAAGTCAAAGCATTTATTTCAATTAAACTATAGTTTGGTACCTACTTTTGAAACGTCAACAAATAGAAAATAAATAATAGTCTGTCAGTCAGTCCGTCAGTGAAACTAGGTGAAGCTAGGTGCTCATTCCAAAATGTATATTCGAAGAAGAACAGTCAGTAAGAGTCTGACTCACTTGCCCCACACAAGGTGGGAGAAGTCATTGGGTGATTTTCACCCCTTAAAATAAACAATTTTGTTCCTTGAAGAGATAGTCCCGCAGTCGAGTGTCTTGAGAGATCACGATGATGAAGGTATGTACATACTTCATTGAGTACTTGCCAACTAGTTAAATTCAATACTTTTTTCAAACTGTCAAAAACGACAGGTTTCTATGAATTTTGTACGAGATTGTGTATCGTGACGTCACGTTTTTTAGCGTCAAACAGCATACTCATTTCCTAAAAACTTGCTGAAAAAAAATACTAAAATTAAGTTGGTCATAAAATTAATTAATTAGATTATTTTTTCATATTTTATTATATTGAACAGTCGAAATAATTTATTTTTGATTAAGGAAAGTACCCAATTATGTATGTACTTGCATAATATGTAATATGGCCTCCTATTATACCTATGGGCAAACTAGGTTACTATCCACCCAAATCAAAAGAACACCCATTTATCAAAAGAATACGCGTTATCTAAGAATGCATTTCTTTGAATATCTGCGTAATATTTACGGGTCTATCTATTGTAGCCACAGATATATTAAAGAAGATTGTAGCTGTAATCAATGGTCGTAGCACGTTTAGGTAAAAGTACAGTATACCTACTCCTTTATTTACAACTTTAGTCTTAGTCGTATTATTCAGCACCCGCCCCTTTTTGTAATAAATAGATAATAACGTACATACAGTAATTTCAAGAACCTGTTTGCTTAGGTACATAATAAAAACATGGAAATAACAAAAATACCTAACAAAAACCCAACATAAATATTATTGTTCTGTCACCGAACTAAATTAACTACAGTTTCTACATAAAAATATTTAATACAAAACAATAAATATGGAAGTCCGGACAAATAGGAGATTCTCAGAATTTCATTAACACTTTAACGATGTACAAAGCAACACAAAATACATTGACTCATTAGTATGACAACGTTTAATGAGTGTTAGAACAAAACGGGCAATGTACACAATCCATTTGTTTTGTATCGCATTATATTAACATTGGCGTGAGATAATGATTTCCAAGAGGTCAAATCGTTATCAAAATTATCAACATCGGGTTAGTAAATAGTTTAATACTGTTTACAAGTTATTTACAGCCTTATTCCATGGTAATAGAGTTGAATGTGTTTCGGGACTCTGTATGGTAAGGAGTTTCCATCATTATGCAGTTTAGCGATTGAACTGATTCAGAATACGGCATGTGGCATTTTTTTTATGGCAGGGTCTTTACCAAAAACTGAACGTTTTTCAAGAAATGTTAGGTGTAGGTACTACACAAGTTTCAATGCAGTACATTTAGGTACAGGCTGAGTTAGCGACTCAGCGCTTTTGGACTTCTTTTTCATAGAGAATATCAACACCTTGAATAAGATGGTAGGTTCTTAGTCCGATCGTTTCTTCCATAGAAATCTTATATCTTATACTATTATATAAAGCGGAAGAGTTTGTTTTTTTGTTTGTTTGAACGCGCTAATCTCCGTAACTACAAGTCTGATTTGAATAATTCTTTTTGTGGTGGATAGCGAATTTATCGAGGATGGCTATAGGCTGAAACATCACGCTACGACCAATAGGAGCTGAGCAGAGCGTGTGAAACCGCGCGGAAGTAGCTAGTATTAAAATATTTATGGTTTCTTCTCATTATTTTATGTAACTACCAATAAAAAAGTATCCTTTAAGTAAGCTTAAAAAATTAAGCTCAAACTAGCAATGAAAACAAAACGAAATCCTAAAACTGCCAATTAAAAAAAAACAAAAAAAAACAAACAAATAAATTGCAACGCACTTCGTTATACAGTTCACCAGCGGGTCAGATGTCCGGCTGTACAGACACCTCCATTAGATAAGTACGTCGACAAATAGGTTTGAATCATCAGTCCTAACTGGCAGTCGGGACAACGCGCGTGTATCCAACGCTACGAAAAAAAAGTTTAGTTTAAAAAATAATAGTTCCATTTTCAAAAATGTATTGTGACTGGCCAACTTTGGGGCGGTGTTGCTTTTGCATGCCGTTAAGAAGAGGAATTCTTACTTTCGGATACATTAATTTAGTAAGTAATGTTTTTATCATCTTTATTTTTCGTTTTGTGATAGTTTTAACCTGGAAAATGTGGATAAATTGTGATTTTATGGGTGTTTTCACTACAATCCTTATTGTTGTTGTGGAGTTTGGAATACTTTCTGGTGTATCGTAGGTTAATCTCTTGTATAATAACATATTTAACAAAAAGGTCCTTCTATAGACTACTCCCTGTCGATCTTTTGTGAGAAATACCCGTGTGATATTCGCGGATGTTACTAATTGTGTACAATTTACGCCAACCGTATCTGTTGTTGAAGGAATCGTAAAAATTAACCTTAGGTATTGCGTCACTTTTACGTGAAAATATTTATATTTGGTGGCATTTAGTTATAATAATGTAACAATATCCATTTTAAAAAAAGGTTAAGACAATTAATTTTGAACAAATAAATTTTCTTTTGTCTAAACTTAATAGTGGAAAGAAACTCTCCAGAAAGTTAATCTGTATACTTTTAGTTCTATATAGCGTCAAGAGATGGCGTTACAGTACTCGTAAGAAGTCACTGCTCACTTTAAGGTCACGGCCTGTAGACCAAACAATGATAAACATGTCATTTAACTAAATTGCCAGTGTCTCGTTAGTATTCTACGGAATATAGAGTTCTAGGTTTGATCCCTGATCAGTTACAAGAATATGAGTTGAGAAAACACATCGGTTTGGATAGCTTTTCGGGAAAGTACCTAACTACTGACATCATACACAAATTAGGTATTTGAATTAAACCCCCATAGTGGGCAGTTTTAAATTATTTAGTAGGTAGGTATACATAATATAGATATTTACCTAGTACTGCCTCGTTGGCCGAGTGATCGGAAGTACGGCTGCCAGGCAAGGGGTCTCGAGTTCGATTCCTGGGTCGGGCAAAATATTACTTAGTTTTTTAAATAATTTTCAGTAGTAGCGAGTCTGGAAATGGTATATGACAATAGGCTCACCGACTATTACATGGAACTCATAACATAAATATTGATAAGTGGGTGTTACATAGTGCCGTAATGTTCACTACCCCTTCGGAGATAAAATAAAAAAAACCCCGAGCGTGCGAACTCAAAGAGTCATCAGATCACGGATGGGGATCCGTGGTGATCTGATGGCTCTTTGAAAGGGGGAAAACCGTGGAATGACTGCTCCCACCTGGGTGAGTCGGGAGGGAGCGTCAGACTCTTACTGACTAAAAACCTCCCCGTTCCTTCTCAAGCGCTTCGAGCCGGTGTCCCGGTAACCCGTTAGGTTCTCCGTGACTCCAATTCAACATACTATACTGTGCACATTTATGCTCATTTCCTCATTACGTCAAATAACGAAGGCAATTAATTTGTACTCCATCGTTTTCAACCTCGACCGTAATTTGTTTATATTTGTAACAATATTTTTGACCCTCAATCCTGTTATGATATTGTGTAAAATAAAAGTGATACAGTCATAGGTAAATGCACTTCGGCTACAATACTTAAAATGTCTAGAACAATTAATAGCAAGTTCCTGTTCTTCATAGTGCTAGTTTCTATCTACAGTCTTACATTTTTGTCTAGATAGGTTTTGTTTATGAAAAAGAGGGCCTCCATCTTCTTCTTTCTTTCTTTTACAAAAACGTTGCCCCACATCAGGATTTTCTCCTGTGTCGTGGAACATACAAGTTCACATACACAATGACACCCAGACCCAAAACAACAATTTGTGGATCACACAAAGTATTGTTCCGTGCGGCAATCGAACCCGCGACACGTTACACGGCAGCCGGTAGCCCAGCCACCGCATCAACCGTGTGCAACCAACTTACTTTATACATACAGTCAATAAAAATCCCTAGACAAATTTTGAGCCAATATGACCCTCAAAGTCAAAGTCAAAATCATTTATTTTAATTAGACCAGAAAGGTACTTTTGAACGTCAACAAAAAAATTAAAAGTAAAGCTATTTGCTCATTACAAGATTCAGATTTATATGAAGAAGAACGACCAAGAAACTCCATAGGTTACTCTTTTTCAATCAGGCTCACAATACAATTCTCTAGTTACATAGTTTTATTGTTACATTGTACGAGAACAATGTAACACTAAAATCCATTCAAAGAGATCGAAAAAAAAATTAAAGGTCAGTAAAAAATACAGTCTGGAGCTGACCAGTCCCAGTCCCACCGAGTCCCTTAAAGATGTGAAGGGTGAGGGTTTCTGGAAACGCTTTCAATTCCAGTGCACTTGTAACTACTATAATCTGGAGTTACGAGTGTCCATGGGCTGCGCTATTTACTTAGCGTTGGGCGATCATTAAGCTCGTTTGCAATTCTATAAAAATAATGATCTACCTGAGCTTTATCTCAGCTATTTTTATAGCATCTTAAAAACTTTATAAAGTAAACTTATTAACACACATATTATAACATCACGCCTTTTATTAGCGAAGGGGTAGGCAGAGGTGCACAGTTACACTGTACAATGTAACACCCACTTTTCACTATTTATGTTATGAGTCCCATGATTACATGTCGTGTAGTCGGTGAGCCTATTGCCATATACCGGGCACAATTGCAGACTCCGTGCTACTACCTACTGAGATTTTTTTTTTAAATCCATTAATACTTTCGAAGTATTAATAGGTAACCCGATACCCCTTGCCCGGCAGTCGCACTTGCGACCACTTGGCCAACGAGGCAGTAAACTTTATTACTATATAATTTAAATACAATTTTGTTTGTCTTTTGCAGATATTCAGTGCGTTCATGGTGGGAGTGTACAGTTACTCAGTGCACACAGAATTAGGTTTGTTCGCGATATACCATGGGACGACCGTGGGAGCGTCTGTGCCTGAAGGAGCGTGTGTCTTCATCTACTGTGTAGAATTAATCTTCACTGCTATTTTATTATATGGAACACATAAGGTAAGATATCCCTAACACCTTTTATGTAACCTACACTAACTATTGAAGTATTGAGAGGTTTTTGTGTAGGCCTGTTTACCTAAATTAACTAAAAATCCCGGGTTACTGTCGCGCAGCCTCCATTGCCACGACCGCACACGCTGCTCATGAGGAAGAGCCCCTCTGTGCCTCGAAACTAGTAGAGCTTTTCTCAGTATATTCAAGTGAGTAGCCCGCGATTTTTAGTTAATTTAGTATGTCTCGCGATAGTTATTATAAAAACGTGTCTACCTACTTACATTAACCCCTCGAACGTCCTTATGAGCACCCGGTGGATCATAAGAAAAAATGCTCCATGCTGCTTTCTCTTTTATAAAATCCATTACTAATGTTTTGTTTTTATTTTGACTGTATTTTTTATTTCTATTGTAATGATCCTTGTTTTCGTGTGTCAATGGCCAAATAAATGCATTTTCTTTCTTTATTTCTTTCTTTCTCCAAATGTCACGTGGGCACCCGTTGGATCATAAGGAACGCGGACGCTCGTCGGGTTAATATCAAGTACCACGCATAGATTCGGAACTACAATTTTCAAACGTACAGAACTAGGTATATAAATAGTTTGGAATCAAACACCACGGCTCTCTGACATAGAGAGTCAATACTTTGACTCACAAAGCTTACCAGTTAAGAAATTTCTGAAATCTTTAGAACATTATCAAGGTTCGAATTGTCAGACACTATTTTAGATTCACTGTCTTGTATCTCCTAATAATATGAGAGTATTTTTGAATAAGGTTTAAAGGGTTAATAATGTTTATGGTGATCGATCAATCAAAAACGTACCCCGTACTAACTCAACCATTTGCCAAACGAAGTCAGGGAAGAGAAAAATGAAAATAAATTTAAGACTAAATTTAAAAAATATCTGTTTAGCACACTACCATAATTGTACCATAATAAAATAATTGTACAAATGTAAAAGATCCAACAGTCAAACTATTTATATATAGTTTTGTTGGACCCATGTCCAACAAAACTATGTCTTATAATTTAACGCCATCGTTAAATTATAAGACATACATTGTACCTTTTATTAATAAATAAATAAGTAATAATTATCGTGAAATATACCTACTAAATTAATAAGGTAATAACGTTATTGTCAGGGAAGTTACTCGATTAGCTTCAAACTAAAACAGGGGCTATGACAATGACGATCGACATCGATGACGATAATGACATTGATATAGTCTATGGAAAGTCCGAACACAGATTATATCAGTATCTTAGTGGAAAGTTCGTCTTAATGTTGTGTAACTATTAATTTGAAATGTAACACGATAAGTAAATACTCAACTTGTAGGTGGCCTATTAAATGATTAGGATTATGAGTATCGTTAGCTAATTATTTATGTAGGAAGTGATAACATGTTAAAAGGTTATCAATTCCCTTATCTATAGTAGTAGGTAGTATGTATCTTATGTATATTATGCATGCAATCTTAAGACAATGTTATAAACGTAGGTATATATGTGCTTTACCTACTTAATAGGGTAGATGCCTAATTTTTATTTTAGTTTCCGTCTGGTAGATTCTTTTAAATAATAATAATAATAATGTTTATTAACCATAATTTTTACAGTAACTCTTATATATAAAATTAATCGTTACAACATCATATAAAAAGTGAGTACTTAAGATGAAACTATGGTACCCAAGGTAAGATCAAACTTGTGTTATGGGTACCACCATTGTCCTTCTTCATTTGCACAAACTTAAGTTGTTGGACGAACACTTCAAACAGGTTTAGACTGGAATAAACATTGTTCTAATATACTGTACTATATATTATTTTCTAAGTAGGTACTAATGCAGCCTCTTTTGATTTGCGAGTGCATACTTAATTATTATTTTGTGTATGAAAATGTTGGTGTAGTGTGAATGTATGTGTAGTGTGAATGTATGTGTAGTGTTTAGGTGTGTGTATAAACGTGTGTCAAAGAGTAGAAATCTTAATAAGCTCTTCCGTCTGGTCGTAATTTAACGTTAAAAGCCATTCATGAACCCTTGCCTTACACCCCCTCCGGCACAATGAAACAATGTCACAAACATTATGGACCTTGTTGTAAATATGACTAGAGAGGACATTATAATGTCGCTGGGCAACGGTCGTACGACATACGTGGGTTGGGCATATTTTGTTACGTCTGCGTTTTCTTGTGTCATTCTTTTCCAATATTACCGTCGGATGTTTGCGTAAAACAGTGGATAGAACAAAGAGCTGTCTAACTGTAAGAACACCACATTCAGTGTAGAGTGTTGTCGTGGGATATTTAAAGGGTTTGGCATTCATAACTTTGAGAACTGCTCTCTGTGCTCTCTCTAAAGGCAGTAAGGATGTTTTAGTTGCACCGCCCCATACAGTAATGCAGTAACCTAGGATAGACTGGCACAAGGCGTAATAAACGGTTTTGAGGGTACATTGGTTAGCAGAAGCCCTCAGCTTTTTGAAAATAAATATACACTTTCGAACTCTATTCATAATATTACTGATATGAGGCTTCCAGCTTAAAGAACTATCTATGTGGACTCCGAGATATTTGACAGTCATGGATCTTGATATTTGAGGACAGTCACAATGAGCCGAGGATCGGCCAAGAGGACATTTGTGAGCTTTAAGTACCATCGTGTTCGTAGGAGGGATGTCAGTGGATCGCAGCGAGAAAGGTAGGTAGACTGTTTTGTCGAGATTTAGAGTTAAGACATTTTCGGACAGCCATTTCATCACCGAAGTAAGAGCATGTTCCGCATATTTGGTTGTTTCGTGCCAGTCACGGCCATGCACAAGTAATGCCGTATCATCTGCGTATGTAAAAACAGAACAATTTTCCAGGGTTATTTTGCAGAGGTTATTAATATAGGCTAGGAATAAGGTTGGACCCAAAATTGAACCTTGAGGAACGCCGTAGCAGAGTGGTTTGGAGTCGTCACTCATTATTCCATTTATTTTGACGCACTGCGTTCTGTCAGATAGGTAGTCCTGGAAAATTTTGAGGGTGTGCCCACGTATACCCATGGCTTCCAATTTAAGTAAAAGATGAGAAACGGACACAGTGTCAAATGCTTTTGAAAGATCTAAGAAAATAGCCACACATTTCATTTTAGAATCCAATTTGTCCACAACACCATCCACCAGAGCTGCAACCGCATCTTCTGTCGACCTACCACTTCTAAAACCATACTGATTGGCACTTAATATATTGTGTGGCTCAAGATATCTTACTAGGCGAGTATTTAGGATCTTTTCTAATATCTTAGAAATGGCAGGCAGTATTGAAATAGGTCTATAGTTATTGACACTGTGTCCGTTACCACCCTTAAATATTGGAATTACAATAGCTTTTTTGAAAACCTTAGGAAAGCACCCCGTTGATATAGAGCGATTACATATATGCGTAATAACTGGTACTAGCACAGGTAGGCAAGCTTTCAAGAGTCCTGATGATATGCTGTCCCAACCTGCAGCAGCATCTGTTCTTAATCTCATAATAAGTTGAGAAACCTCTTCCACATCTGTAGGTAACAATACCAGTGAATTTGAGGGTACCGATTTCATAGAGAATTCCTGAGTGGAAGAGCTGAATGGTATTTTTTCAGCCAAATTTTTGCCGACATTGGCAAAAAAATCGTTAACTACATTTACCGAAGACTTTTCATCACAAGATATCCTTAATAGGTCATTGCTAGCAGTAGGCATGTGATTAGTTCCAGTAACATTCTTGATGACCTTCCATGTAGCTTTAGCATTACTTTTCGCCTCTTGGAATTCCTCTCTTTCATAGTTAATTTTAAGGTTCTTAAGAAGTTTATTACAAAAATTACGATACCGTTTGTATGTAATTTTAAGAATATAATTATCTGGGTCATTGTTTAGTTTACGCGCCATATTGTCTCTGTTTCTAATGCATCGGAGTAGCCCCTTTGTAATCCAAGGTTTTAAAATTCTGCATTTTGAGGACATGTGAACTAATTTGGAATGCCTAGTTATAACTGACCTGATCATGGACACCAGGGTTTCCGCGGCAATATTGGCGTCTTGTATATTCATAACTGTGGTAAAATCCATTGATAATATGTCATCTGTAACAGCTGCGTAGTCAATAACAATACGGTTAGATTTAGGTGTGTTGATCGAATTTTTATATTGAATAGTAAGAAAGGTAGGCTTGTGATCCGTTATGTATGTGTCAATAATCAGAGTTGTAGTTTTTTTGGTCGATTTTATCATTATGTGGTCAATGCAGGTATTTGCGCGTGTAGGAAACAGGTGTGTGGGCATTAAGCCATGTGAGGCAATTAAATCGAGATACTGATTTGCTTGGGTGGTAAGAGCATCTGGCCTTATATCGATATTCATATCCCCCATAACCACTATGTTTTTATGAATTGATGATTCTTTTAAATCATTAGACGCGTATTTTATATTTTCTTACAGAAACGAATACCTTCGACGATATATTGATTTGAAATGTCACTTCTATGTAGGTACATTTTATACGTAGAAATGAAGTTTTAGCCCCCACTCCTAAACTTTGATTCGTTTTATCTAAGTATTGTTTTATTATACAACAAAATAAAAAAATAAGTGTCAAATATTTTTTCATTACCTAACTTACGGACTAATTAGATTTTTAATGGCACACACGGCACATTACGGCACTTAATGTCACTGTTCAATGTAATACCTACTTTTCACTATTAACTTTAAAAGAGCATACACGCTAGGTTTAGCATGATGGTTTTAGCCGTGTATGCATAACCGACAGACAAGCCCTAGCGTGTATGTGATTAAACTGTACCTACAGTTATCGCTGCATCGGTGCTCGGTTATGTTAGTCAGTTTGGCATGCAAAGTTATAACCATCATGCAAACCCTAGCTTGTGTGCCGCCTTTACTTACATAGGTAGTAAACAAATTATTAAGTCAAAAGATGAATAATATGTTTACTGTTTTCTGCCAACGGATTCGCAGACGGTATCAGGATACAAAAGTAGGGAGTCTTTGTATAATCCTTACTAATATTATAAATGGGAAAGTGAGTTTGTTTGTTTGTTTGTTTCTTCCACTTTCACGCCGTAACTACTGAACCGATTGCGTTGAATTTTTGCAAACTTAAATTTTGAAGTCCCGATTAAATGATAGGGTACTTTTTAACCCGGAAAAATGTGATATTCCCGAGAGAAAACAAAAATATTGGTATAGATGGCGCTATGTCTATTGGTATATGTCACATAGGCTACTTTTTATCTTTTTGTGACGCGAGCAAAGCCGCGGGTAAAAGCTAGTTCCAAATATAAAGTTCATGAACCAAATTTAATTCTGATTCGACCAGTATTTTTTGCATTAAAGCGAAACAAACATGTTTACATACAGCCACATATTTTAAACTTTCTGTCGGTAGAATACAGTTTGGTCGTTTTAATCAAGAGCAAGGAAAACCAACATTACCTAACCATGATCAGTCTCCACGAGGTAGGGAATGATTCCAATTATCCAGTTACTCCGTTGGTTTCGAAGAATGCCGGTAACCAACAGTTTTCCTTACCGGCATTCATTAGATGACTCTTGTTGTTTGTAATTTTGTTTGTGTATGATGACTCATCATACACAAACACATTACTCATTCAGAAATTTTGCATTGAGTTACAATCTTACAAACTCTGACTAAAATATGAGCTAAAGTTTTTAAAGCTCTTTGACTCAATAAATATATCAGCATTTCAGTCTCATTTGAGATTTACTCTTAACATAACATAACATCACGCCTTTTATCCCGGAAGGTGAGGTAGGCAGAGTGCACTTTTTACTATTTATGTTCCGAATCCCATGTAATAGGGTGTGAGATTCCAGACACAATTCCAGACTCGGTGCTACTACTGTGAATTTAAACAAAAATCCTATAACGTAATACATTGCCTCTCAAACAATCAGGTACCCAGTAAAACAACCCGGGAATCGAACTCGAGACCCCTTGCCCGGCAGTCGCACTTGCGACTACTCGGCAGTCACTCTAAATAGAGCAAATTTTCGCTTTTAATGTCTCACAGGGATTAATTCAGGTGTTGAAATGAAACGTAAGAATAACGAAATACAATTGGTTATTAATTAAAAAAAACTATGGTACTCCGCTTATATCATATCAGGGCCTTAGGTTATCATAAAATCCACAATCACATTTGTAGCTAGCAAGAACTTGAACTTTATACTAGACCAGATGCAGGTTTGATAACGTAAGAACTGATATAGGTAGGTACTGTAAATTGCAGTTACCCACAACAGACGTCATCTCATGTCAGTCCGCTTTATCAATAGTACGGACATTTTACCAGCAATAGGCAATTATTGACAAGCATATTGCAATAAAGAGGTCGTAAACACAAGTTTTCCTTTGTCGGTACGATAATGAGGATATTAATATAAAATAATATAGGTATTTTGTGTGATATGCGGTCTTTGTGATTCATTGAGGCCTTCAATTGTATTTGTTTACGTAAAGGTGCATTATTCTTTCTGTAATCGCTGCGCTATTGACAATTAATTGCGCAGTCCTAAGTAAGTGTTAAAATCAGAGGTTGTGGGATAAGAAACGATATGGGATATAAGGAATAAGTGTGGGAGACCATGTTTCGGCACGAATGGGCCGGCTCGACGGGAGTGATGCCACGGCTTCACAGAAAACCGACGTGAAGCTACGCTTGCGTTGTGTTTCGTCGTGTGAGTGGGGTTACCGGAGGCCCAATTACCCCTCCCCCTCCCCCTTCCCCAATCTCCCCAATCCCTGAATCCCCAACAATCCTCAAATTCCATGGGCGACGAGGCTCACCATCAGGTGATCTGTCTGCTCGTTTACGGGCTTATGCCACAAAAAAAAGACGTGAATTAAACTTAGAGAGCGCCACAAGCAAGCACAGTTGTGGCACCCCAACTTTATTAACAACCCCCGCCGCTCTATGGTCAATTGGCCACGCATGTCTTTGTAACCACAGCTGTAGCCAAATGCCATTTAGCGCTTGTCTACATGTAGAATAGAAATTTAAATTATAGGGAATTGACGTAAATTTTGACACTTTTCAGTGTCATCCCCATACATTTTGATTTCTATTCTCTCTGTAGACAAGCGCCAAAGTGGCGTTTGGCTACAGCTGCTGACGCTCTAGCCACTTGCCTAGTTTGTCTTTGGGATAATACGGACCTAGTGAGGGTTTACTTAAGTGCACTGTTACCTGGCAATTTATAATATTAGTAAGGTACTTACATAATAACAAAACTTGCTCTTTAACTATTATGATATTTCTTTGTTGCAGAAACTAATAACCTACATAAGGGTATACTACTACTTCGCCCTGACCACGACTGTGGCGTCCTGTCTCGTGCAGATCTTGGACTTCACTATAGCTGTCAGCACCAGAGTAGGATTGTACATGATTTTTGAGGTTCTACCTCTTATGTTCGCCTCAATGTGTAAGTATCAGCAAGTTTATATAAATGTAAATCATTGACTGAGAGAATTTTTGTTTGAAATATAAGCGGGAGTATAATACGCACCTCCATATTGAAATTATGCCTTTAACCCGCTCATGTTCCACCACGGATGGGGCCCAATAGGGCTGATGCCGATTCGGAGCCGCGGAGAACTTACGGATTACCGGGGCTCCGGCTCGAAGTGCAGGAGAAGGAACGGAGTGGTTTTAGTCAGTAAGAGTCTGACACTCCCTCAAGCCTCAACCAGGCGGGAAAAGTCATTCGATGATTTTCCCCCTTAAAAAATACCCGGTTATATTATTATAGTATTTCCATTTAAACTACAGGCTATCTAGAAATTTTAGTAAAAAGAAACAGTTACTACTGAGAATTTCCATTCAAATCGTAATCGAACCCTTTTCGTCTCTTCGAGCATCGGGATCACAAGTTGCTATTAGCATTAAGACAAACTCACTGAACTAAACTTATACATCTTATTACAGCCATCCAAATCTACCTCATCATTCTAATAAGGAGTCTATTAAAGAAGATGGAGCAGTCAGGTCCTCATGGATATGAGAACCAGCTCCAACAGATAGTGTACGAAGGGAAGGTGGAATCCAATGGAGTCTACGACCCTACCGTGGTGCCGGTAGACGTGTAGATGATAACGGTAGATAGTAGGTAATCACCCATTACTTGTTAAGTGTCCGAAATACTCATGAAAAGTCAATGAGAGGCTATTTTTGTTAAGTGAATGGATTGAATCTCATAATTATGTCAAAGTTGTAATGAAATCTCCAATTGAAATCACTAAAGTCCAATTGAAAGAATTTTGAAAAGTGATTTGTTTTAAATTGTTCTTTGGTATCTCTTTGCACAGGTATATTTTGCACAAGTAAATATTAATAATAAAAAAACATCTAACGCCCTCAATTTTGTAAGTGAATGTATGGAATCTCACAGATCAGAGTCATAATGACATCTCCAATTGAAATAACTAAAGAATTTTGAAAAGTGATTTGTTTAAAATTGTTCCTTGATATCTTTTTGCACAGGTATATTTTGCACAAGTAACGCCCCTAAATCTCATTTATGAGTCACATGTAGGTACTAAAGTCGCATCTTGTGTAAAATGATTGCTACATGTAATAATTATTTTCGTCTCTGCCTACCCTTTTCTGGTGTGAAGCCATGATCATTATCTACTACGGTTTGTCCACTCTCTTTTAGTTTGTAAGTACTAAAATTATTGCATAATTTAATGTTGTAAATATTTTGTATGATATAGTCGTAAGATAATGAAAATTGTGATAATAAAATGACGATATTTTTATTGAAATCTGTAGTTTTATATTATAACCTGATCTATTATTGCAGGCAATGTTGTTGCCCGCGACTTTGCCCGCGTAGAATATGAATTTTTGGACATTAGATTTTTGTTTCAATTTTCCAGAATAAAAGTAGCCTATGTTAATCCTCAGTACCTACATCAGCTAGCTGCCATTAAAATTCCTGTCAAAATCGGTCCAGCCATTCCAGAGATTAGTTATTACAAACAGACAGACAGATAGAACAAATTAAAAAAAAATGATTGACGCATGACTCTTCCACGCTTGATTATGGTCTGGAGTACCACAGGCTACTTTTTACCCCTCGAAACGTGGGAGAAGCCGATGGATGACGCTAGTATTCAATAATAAGAATAATTTTTATTTCCTAAAAACAAAGGACAAGTATATCGATTATTTGACAAAATGTCGTATTGAATACATAGAAAACACAATCACAATTGCATGGTAGACCAAAAAATACATAGTTTATAATGCATACATACGAGTTAACATAAGCAGTGGCTTTTCTGTAGTAGATAAGTAAATCTAAATAAAATAATGAAGTCACAATATAATACACCTTGCGAACGAACAACAGTAGTGTATTTTTTTTTGGGCCAAGCCCGCCACAACCTCCTAAAACCGCTGCAATTTCTGTAAGCCAGGATCTACAGTAGGTACAACCATGAAAACACCGAAACACCGAAGTCCGGCGCGTCCCAGGGACATGAATAACTGTCTTGGTTCCCGCAACGAAGTGATTCAGAAGATATTATAAGAGGAGAAGAAACAGTAGTGTATATCAGTAATTCACAAGACATTAAGTTGGATACCAAAAGTGTAATAAATGTCTAAAGATGGTATACACGTAGATTTGTCGCGGAGAACCTAACGGGTAACCGGGGCTCCGGCTCGACGTGCAGGAGAAGGAACGGGGAGATTTTTAGTCAGTAAGAGTCTGACACGATCTGATTTATTTATTGATCTTTTTTTGATATGCTGTCTTAGCACTATACCTACTCTGTATAAAAAGTTGACGAACGTTTAAAACCTCAGATTCTTCGTATACTTCAGTCGTGTCGCGAAGAACCTAAGGGGTTACCGGGTCTCCGGCTCGACGTGCAGGAGAAGGAACGGGGTGGATTTTAGTCAGTAAGAGTCTGACACTCCCTCCCGCCGAACCCAGGCGGGAGCAGCATGATATTCCCCCCTTAAAAAAAAATAAGTTCAGTCGTCGGATACCTACATTTTTGAATTTAGGATACATATATGAATACTTTCTATATTTATGATATTACCTTTTCCAGTACCACCCCCAGCCGAGATACCATAGGAAAGTGATGATCGACACAGTGTGAAATAAACAGTTTTGTTAGTAGATTTGTCTTTTAAGTTCCTAATATTTTTGAAAATTGGTATGAATTTGCGTATGCCAGTCTTCAGATTACTTATATGCTGTTTCCAGTTTAAATTTTTATCAATCCCGATTGTTGCGGACAGTAAATAATAATGGTGCAGTGTTCGACGCTTTGATATATTTTTAAAAATGACATTTGACCCTGTAATAGAGAGCATAACTGAGTTTATCAGGTTGTACTAGGAATAAATATTATTGTTTTGTTCGCATTATCTTTATATTGCCGTTAGGTATTAAAAAACTAATAAATCGTATGTTCTACGTATTACAATGCATTAAACTCTTCGATACTTGTAACTGAATGACTGAGAACGCCCAGCCGAGACTTCTGAATAGGGATGATGACAGGGTATGAAAATTAAAATCGAGTTCTTTTTATACATATTTCTTATCGTATTTTTTTTCTCTTATGTTACACACTGTGTCTTATGTCTTAATTAGGTCCATTTCCTGTCTCAGGTGTACTGGAAGAAATTCCAAAAGGAATAAGTAGCACCTTTGTACTCAAATTTTATACATATATGTGTTATCCTCTGTGCTGTTTATGTGTATATAAATTATTAATGAAATAAATAAATACGGCACCAAACTTCAGTCATTTTATTTTCTTAACATGATTGGATATTTTCTTAAGACCACACAGATTCATTGGGAAACTGTACATGAAACTGGGACATGCAGCTAGTAGGTAATTTACATAAATGTAAAACTGAAATTAAATATGAATTATGTATTAATAACAAAACATATCATAATATTATCATTCCCAGAAGAGATATAAAAAGGTGTCTATTTCATTACAGGACACCCATTTGCGATTTATTTATCAGTTGCATATGGCTCATGTTATCAACAGAAAATAACATTTTACTCTGTCTCTATCTGAATAATGAACGCAGAACGGTCTCCGTGGGATTTGCGACTGGTGACCAGACTATTCAAATATTATTTTCACCATTCCAAATCGTCAACAGCCTATAAATGCCCACTGCTGAGCAAAGCCTCTTCTCACACGGAGAAGGTTTGAGCATTAATCACCACGCTTGCTCAATGCGGGTTGGCGATTTCAAACTTATAATTAGAAATTATAAGTCCAGGTTTCCTCACGATGTTATTCCTTCACCGTTTGTCAGTGGTGTCTAAATAATCTTAGAAAGTACATATAACGCGGAAAAAGTTACATTGGTACTTGCCGTTGGTAGGTTTCGAACCTGCACCCTCATGCGTGAGAAGCGGGCGTCTTAAACCTCCGGGCCACCACGACACTACCAAATATGTAAGTACAAATAGTTATATCTAGATGATAAAGGTTATAGGGAGCCATTGGTTGCAGGACAAATAAAATACGCGACTACAAAACAAACTATACTTCTTATATCATAGCAACGGGTATTGGCGTAGCTTACATAGCGTAGTACCGACATTTTGTAGCATCTTATGCAGCGTAGTAAGTAGTGCTTAGCAACGCGCGTAGCATATTGCTGTAGCGAGCAACGTATCGAGTCACTTACGTAACAAAGACAGTGAGCAGCGATGCTGTGCAATGAAGATACACCACTGCTTCACTGCTTAACAATCATGTCCTATGCCACTACTTACCAACGTAATACCTAATCATTGTTGTTTTTATGATCATTAATAGCGTTTAATATAATAATCATTAAGTACTGTTTAAAAAAGCACTGGCACTGACAAGAATGTAATGGTGAATGCCTTGATATTTTGAAATTAATAAATATTATTGTTATGTATGGCACCACCAGTGGGTCGTTGGATTTGGGCCTCCGATAGCCTCATAAATACGGCTGCACATGCCGTTGTTTGACGCTGGTTGAGGCCGCAGTATCACTCTTTTCGAGCCTACCATTCGTACCGAAGCACGCCTCTCCCACGTGCAAATACAAGTTTATGTATTTATGATTAGCCTGACATTATATAACTATCAGATAACTATTATATAATTAGTAGTTGTTGCCCGTGCCTTCGTCCGCGTAGGATATGATTCCTATTTTATCCCATGGGAGCAATTAACCCATGGTATGCCGGGAGCGTAGATATACGCGAGACACAATGTGTTTTCCATTGTGTCTCATATAAGAGATAAGAGGTTAATCGGAATAAAATGTATCCTATCAATTAAGTCAGCCTATACCCTGCCTGTATACCCAATTTTATCAAAATCCGTTCAGTAGTTTCAGCGTGATTGACGGAAAAACATCAAAACATCCAAACAAAGAAACTTTCACATTTATAATATTAGTATGATGTAATAATCGTTACTTATGTTGTCCCAGTACATGAGTCGATATAAGGAATTAGATAAGTTATACTCTAATTAGTTTTTCTCAATTTGTAATTGTAGATAGCTGTGTCGTGGCGGCCCAGAGGTTTAAGACGCCCGCTACTGATGCATGAGGGTGCGGGTTCGAAACCTAGCAAGTACCAATGTGACTTTCTCCGAGTTATATGTACTTTCTAAGATTATCTAGAAACCATTGACAAACGGTGAAGGAAAACATGAGGAAACCTTAGGCTTTTTTTTTTTTTTTTAATATTAAAGATTATTTCTCCACGGACTCTAGGTCCGTGCCCTTGTCATACAGTTTTTTAATTATAATACATCTAGTCAATTTTTATAAAGTAAAGAGGGAACCTAGTTACATACTACAATTAACTACATCTATAATTATTAGCAAAAGTATAGGTTCATAATAATTAGGCACTATTTATTTTATTTCTATTTCAAAGGCTTTATGAAACCAGCCCACCAACAAGATGGGAGAGCCGACCTGACCCAGCAGAAGGCACCCGTTCACGAGTATGACGTGTGTGTCAGCAATTGGTCCGGTCAACCTTTTTATTGGGAACGGAACAACCCAACACACAGCGCCACCGACTGTAGGACATTTATGT